GCCGAGGCGGAGCAGGGGCCGCCGCCGCCGCCGCCGCCGAGGCCTTCTTCCTGCCGAGGAGGCCCACGGTAGAGGACGACGGCGGCGGCGACAGGCCGACGAGCTTCAGGATGCACCCGAGGACGGGCACCAACCTGAGCTTCTCGCGCCCCTTCCACCAGGCGCAGCAGCCGCCGCCCGAACCTGAGCCCAGGCCGCCGCCGTCGGCTTGGCCGCACCCGTTGCGTTTGAAGCGGGGCCATGAGCAGCCGTATTTTTGAGCTGCATTCTTCGGTGTTTTCGTCCCATTTTCTTACTTGCGAGCATCCTTTCCTTTCTCAAGCATTTCTTCTTCCTATACGCCCCCTTCTCTCTTTCCACTCTCCTCCCATTTCTTACTTTCTCCTTTGTTCTGCCTATACTTGTTCCCTTGCCCTTTTCATTCGGGTTCGCGTACACAGATCACCTCTTTCACTTCAAATGACTGATGAATACCTTGGCGAGCAGACGTGGCTTGCTATTTTTTACCACCTGACACATTCCCTAAACCTTAACTGTTGATATCCGGGCGGTCATCTTAGACACTACATTACACAGGGCGCAGTGTGTTTAGATAGGACAGTGCGATGAGACTAATAAAGTAAAGCGACATGCAACAATATACCCCCGCACATTTCTTGAGCTTCTAGCCACTGAAATATTGACCCAGTCATTCCCGGTCCATAGATCCGTGGGCCGGAGGAGGGCGGCCTAATGGTCCCAACACATATGACGTGAAGGCAGATTTGCGTGGGCCCCGGTCAACGAAAGTCATGTAACCTCCTGTATGATCTCCTTCGCCTCCCTAGGGCGCCTCGCGCTAGGGTCTGCTCGTCACACCCTATCGGCCCTGACGGTGGCACGGCAGCCAAGGGAACGTAAGCTACACAAAAGTGGAGTATTTTGTTCACTGAACCTGTTTGGTGATTGGACTGAGAGGGCCAAGAGGGTAATAACATGAGTTTTCTCCTCGATGATCAAAAGAGCTTTTTAAGCCCCACGACCGCCTGTTCCTAACCCGACATGATCTGCTTTGTCCAGCAGGCTGATGAAAGCTGCAAGGGATATAGAGAGCGAGGTTCTGTGTGAGATATAATGACGGTCTGGGGATACTGGTAGGGTCCGGAGAGCATTGCTACTGATATAAGGGGGAAATGGAGACAGATACACTAAAAATAAAGCTAGAGATAAACTGAGAGATGCTGCCTGCAGGATTTGGAAAGCATGTTCAGTATTCGCGTTTGGTGTATCGCGGGACAGCTGACGAGGGATTAAAGGGGTGTAAAACAAAAGCCGCAGCCAGCTCCTATAGAGCGCTAGAAGAGACCCCAGATGCCCTGCGCTTTCTGCTTGGGAGGGGCCGGAGGGGTGACCAGGACGGTGTCCCAGGTCTCGACGCCGTCGATGAACAGGCGGTACCGCAGACTGCCCTGGTCGCTGCCGGCCAGGTTCTCCATGGTGATGGCGCCGAACTTGGAGTTGCCCTTGTTGATGTACTTGAGCTGCACGTCCTCGTCGTCCGTCTGGCGGTACGTCGGGATGGGCGAGTAGAACTGGCTCAGCGGGCTGACCGAGAACTCGTGCACGGCCGCGCTCTCGGGCCAGCGGTCGCCGGGGGGCGGAGGGAAGCGCGTGGCGGCAAACTCGTGCCGGTCGCCCGAGAGCACGATGACGCCCACGCCGAGGCTCGCGCCCGCGTCCCACATGGCCTCGAGAATCCTGCGGCGCTCGGCCAGGAAACCACCCCATGTGTCCTGGGTGTTGACGCGCCAGTTCTTGGTGAGCGGCACCGACGAGGCCACGACCTTCCACCTGACGCCGCGGGGCTCGGGCCGCGCCAGGAAGGCGAGCAAGTCCTCGAGCTGGTCGGCGCCCAGCATCGTCTTCTCGGGACTGTCGGCCGGCAGCGCCTTGTTGCCGGACCGGTACGAGCGTGTGTCGAGCATGAAGAAGCTGGCGGGCCCCTGGGTGAACTCAAAGTAGCTGGCGCCCTCTCGCGCCGTGGTCGCGGCCCCCTCCAGCCCCGCCTGCCTGGCGAGCGGGGGGTTCGCCTCGGCGAGGTAGTGCTTCCAAGGGTCCATGGCGGCATTGTAGACCCCCGTGGTGTTCGCGTCCCAGTCGTTCGCGATCTCGTGGTCGTCGATGACGTGGATCCAGCTCAGGTTCTGTCCCACAGTCGCCCATTCGGGAGAAGCGTATACCTGACGGTAGCTTTTGCGGTAAACGTCGGTGCTGCTCCCCCATCGGCGGGGTACGTCGATGTAGATAAAGTCGCCGAGAAAGAGCATAAACTGCGCACCCAGAGTTGGGAGGGCGTTTGCAAGGTAGCGCATACCCGGGATGGCAAGTGCAGTATCCCGAGGGTCGTAAGGCAGGCGGTGGACAATGCACGACGTGGAAAGGAAGGTGAACTTCCCGTCGAACTGCTCTGGTGACTGGCCGGGCTTCGGGGCCGAAGTGAACTCCCCGGTCTGGTTGTTGGAGGCTCGCCATTCGTAAGTGCGCTGCTTGGAGTGCTTCAGCGGTATGGTGAGAACCGCGGTGTAGTCGGTCTCGTCCGTGGTCCAGCGGACGCCGCCAACCTTCTCCCACAGGGGGTTATCAAACGGCGGCTTGGGGTTCTTGATCTTCAACTCGAAAGTGATAGGCAGCTTTGACTGATCGGGCTCGCGAATCAGCAGCTTCGCCTCCAAGTGTGAGACGTGGCCGAGTCTGACGAACGACAGGTCGTCGACATTTGTGAGGCGATCTCGGAAGAGCCGGTCGCCCACCATGACGACGCACGCCAGGTTGATCAGGAAGGTCAGGGAAGACGAGACGAGGGTCCGGGGATTAGGGACCCCCGAGACCAGAGTTCGCAACATCGACTCATCATGCCTTTTAGGGACAACAAGTGTCTCCTGAATCGTCACCTCCTCGGCCTTGATGGTGGCCTTGCCGTTTTGGGCTTCAACCGTGGGTGGCGACGTGATGGTGGTCTCCCTCAGAAAAAGCTCCCTCTCCTCCTCAAGTTCCTGCCTGATGAGCTCGTTTCCGTAGCCCGCAATGAAGGCGGGTGCATAGAGGGCAAATAGCGAAAAGACGATGACCGGGATGATGGGCAGCAACGCCCATCTTAGAAAGAAGTATGAGGCGAGCCTGATGCCTGCCGAGGTAGCTTTTGCAGTCCGCTTTTGTAAGCCGTTCATCGCCATGGTGGCAACGGACGGACAGAGATGGCGCTCAATTTCAGGGGTTCAGTCTGCGTTGGCGTTGGGGTGAAGAGGAAGGGTGAGTGTTGTGGAGAGAAAGGAAGGTTGTCGAAATGCGAGGTCGGCAGGCAAACAGGACTAAGTTCGCGACCGTCGCTGGCATTCGTCGACGCAACCAGGCATCAATCGGGAATTCTGAGTCGGCCAAAGAGCGCCTAGAGCCAGAAGATGCAGCTGGAGTGCATATGCGGCTTGACCTGAAGCACACAAAGCGCCCTCTTCCAATCTGCAGGCCAAAGTGAGTGCGGCGCGCCGGTTCATTCCTTGGCTTGGTGATGATATCATGTAATTGGGCGCGCCCATGGTGATGTGGCGCCTAGCGTGTGTGGCTCGGGCGCCAGTCGGGTTCGTGCATGGAACTTCGATGATCCGACGAGCGAGTACTTTGTGGTCCGTGCCCTGTCTCAGTCGCACAGTTGGTACCTATCCCCGGCCGGTGGGGTGGGCCAGCAGCCAGTTGGAGGGGGCTGACCAGGGGTGTGTGATTGGTTCTGCAATTGCGTGCATGTACGCGGGACAGTTGTCCAGAAACACCAAGCGTCGAACCTTTCTGGCCTGTTGGAGGAAAGCCGCTACGCCAGCACTGCCCGACGATAATCGAGACTTTACGCGGACGAAAAGCCGCCCACGACGCACACCACAACGCGCACGATGAAGTTATTACTCTGGACCTACGGGCTGGTTGCCCTGTTCGCCTCTCAGGCCGCCGCCACGGCCCTAACCTTCAAGCTCCCCGCGAGCGATGAGTCGTGCTTCTACACCACTGGCAGGACACAGAATGAGAAGATCGCGTTTTACTTTGCGGTACGCAGCAGCAGCCCGACCTAGATCCCACCGACACCATATATGCGCGCGCAGCAACACGGCAATGCGACCGGGCAGCGATGGGGCCTCGCACAGGGAGAGCGGATAGGGGACATGACAGGCCAACCCGAGTAGAGCGTTTGCTGACACTAACTTGGCATATTTAGGTGCAATCTGGCGGAAACTTCGATGTCGACTACGAGGTGACAGGCCCCACGGGTAAGGTCGTGCTGGACGGCGAAGCGGAGCGGCAGGGCGACTTCGTCTTCACCGTCAACGAGCTGGGAGACTACAAGTTCTGCTTCCACAACACCATGGCCTCGCACTCTGACAAGGTGGTGGACTTTGAGATTGCGGTCAGTGCAAACTCCCACCAAAACCTGTGGCCACCTATGCACGGGTCTGTGTTGCTAACGGTCGTTTTCATGTTGCCAGGTCGAGAACGAGGCACGCGTGACCCTCCCTTCCAAGAAGGGAACATCTCCAGAGCAGACGTCGACGCTGGAGGAGTCGGCCTTCAAGATCTCGGGCCAGCTGTCGTCCATCAGCAGGCACCAGAAATACTTCCGCACGCGCGAGAATCGAAATTTCGCCACCGTCAGGAGCACCGAGAAGCGCATCATCAACTTCAGTCTGATCCAGTGCGCTTTGATTGTGCTCATGGGTGCTCTCCAGGTGTTTATTGTCAAATTCTTCTTCCAGGTATGATCTTCTTCTCCCCGTAGCTGCTGTTTCCCGGGAGGAACTGCTTTTGCTGACCAACCCTCGACTTTTAGGGCGCAAGGAAAGGATACGTATGAGTAATAGTGTTACGATCTGGCGCTCGGCTATGTGGCCTTGCTGGGTACCTACCTATTTCCGTGCAGTCTACTTATCGCAATTTTAACACACGGGAGGATCCATGTTGGCACCATCGCAGGCGGGTATTGTGTTGTATTAGGCTCCGAGTAAAACCATTTGCTCTTTTCTTCACGGGCGGAAAATTACCAAGTAGAGGCCAACGGTACGACTACCAACGACAATGTTGGGGGCCGAGCGACCAAGCCCGATATGAAGGTTTATTTTGTGTGCTGAAGTTACGGTATACAAACTCTTCCAATGTCGTAAAAGTTCAATGAAAAGCCGTCTTCTCGCACAGTATCTTGGGGGGATGAAGCAGGCCGCTGCCCACAGAGCAGGGCACCTAGGCGCAGCGCGATTCGAGAGCTTATCTAATGCTGTCTACGTGCATATCGGCGGACCCACTGGGTTTTGTTGCTTGGCGGATTGGACAAAACGCGGACCCAAATCAGTCCAACGTACTGCCTGCCAATTCGACATGGGAAATCCGAACACGCTTCAAAAAAACGACACCCAGATCGCGCCAAACGACCGACCCGACTCTAGAAAGGGAGCTAGCGGATGCAACGATGACCTCGATTGCTAGCGCCCTTGCGCGGGCCCTCCCGAAGCCGAAATACACAGGCGAGGATGAAGAGCCGCCATCACACGCGGTGCAGCGCGGTCCGCGGGTGCTGGGCCCCGGCCAGCTAGACGAGACCCAGATCGTGCTGCGGAGGACGGGCCCGCCACCGTACGGACAGCGATCGTCGGGCTGGCGGCCACGCAGTCAGGAGGACTACGGTGATGGCGGCGCCTTCCCCGAGGTGCCCGTGGCGCAGTACCCGCTCGAGATGGGCCGCAAGTCCGGGTCGGGGAAGAGCAACGCGCTGGCCGTGCAGGTCGACGCCGATGGCAAGGTCAAGTACGACGCCATCGCGCGACAAGGGCACGGCGAGGGTCGCGTCATTCACACGTCTTTCAAAGACCTCATCCCTTTGCGGCAGCGCGCCGAAGCAGGCGACATTGACCTGGCCAGGCCGTCCAAGGAAGATGTTGCGGCGACGGCGGAGCGAACACGCAACGCGCTCGCGGTGCTAGTCAGCGGCGCCCTCGCGTCGCAAAAGCCAAAGAACGTCAACGTCGGCGGGCGCAAGGACCCAACCTTTGTGCGCTACACGCCCGCCAACCAGATGGGCGACACCAGCGGTCCCAAGCAGGATCGCATAATGAAGATCGTGGAGCGCCAGCGCGACCCCATGGAGCCGCCCAAATTCAAGCACAAGAAGATCCCGCGCGGCCCGCCCAGCCCGCCGCCGCCGGTCATGCACTCGCCGCCCCGGAAGCTTACGGCGCAGGACCAGGAGGACTGGAGGATACCGCCACCCATCTCCAACTGGAAGAATCCCAAAGGCTTCACTGTGCCCCTAGACAAGCGCCTGGCCGCCGACGGGAGAGGCATGCAGGACGTCACCATCAACGACAAGTTTGCGCAGTTCTCGGAAGCCCTGTTTATGGCCGACCGGCACGCGCGCGAGGAGGTCAAGCAACGAGCGTTGATGCAGCAGAGGCTAGCAGAGAAAGAGAAGGCACAAAAGGAAGAGAACTTGCGGCAGCTGGCCCAGAAGGCGCGGGAGGAACGCGCCGGGGCTGGTCGGCGGCGGTCCAGATCCAGGTCTTCGAGGTCCAGGTCCGGCAGCTACAGCAGCCGGTCCGACTCCGGCGAGGACAGCCAGGACGAGGACGAGCGGGAGCGGATCAAGGCCCGAAAGGAGAAGAACCGCGAAGAGGAACGTAAGATGCGGATGGGACGCATGGGAGCGGAGCGCAAGATGCAGGTGATGGCCCGAGAGGCTGGACGTGACATATCTGAGAAGATTGCACTGGGCTTGGCCAAGCCGACGCAGTCTACCGAGGGCATGTACGACTCGCGGCTTTTCAACCAGAGCTCCGGGTTCGCGTCGGGCATCAACGAGGACAACCCCTACGACAAGCCGCTGTTCGCGGCGCAGGACGCCATCAGCAGCATCTATCGTCCCCGGGCCAACATGGACGACGAGGACGAGGCGGCAGGCGATGCCGAGATGGCAAAGATTCAAAAAGCCAGCCGGTACGGCGAGGTGCTTGGCCGGGGCACGTTCAAGGGCGCGAGCGACGTCGAGGCGCGAGAGGGCCCCGTGCAATTTGAAAAGGACCGGGGAGGGGCCGGAGGGGCAGCGGCCTCGGCCGGGGGTTCGGGCGCAGTAGACCCTTTCAACGTGGACAAATTCCTGTCAGAGGTGGAGCAGAGCACAACGTCCAAGCGGTCGTATGGACTGCAGGGCGGCGGCGGGGACGACGGGGGACGGCCAAAACGGGCCAGGGTAGACGACGAGGACGACTGAGAGTGTCTGCTCTCACGATAAGGTCGGCAGCTGGCGGCGTCGATTTCGCCGGAGCCCGCGGGCAACTAGAGAGTATATCTGCGATGCCGAGTCGCTTATAATTACCAATCACCAAATACCAAATGCCAAACACCTTGATTTTCAAACCATACAAGCTGTCGACAGAGATTTCAACCATCCCAGTCGTTTGGATCACCGCCGAGACGTGTTTGCGGGATACTACCAAGCCTCCCGCTATCGCCATCTCTACCGCATCGCCCAGGCTTGCGTAACCACGCCTACCCCTATTTCCCGGGCCCTAGCTTGTGTTTCTGCCAATGAGTGGGCACTGGGCATCCTGTTCAAGACGCGTGCTCCACGACGATCCCGCAGAAGCCCACCGAGCCCCACCTACTAGGTGCCTGACCACCAGACGACGCGGTGCCACGCCAAGCCTGGTGGCCGTTTTACAACGCGATGCGGCGGCAGCGGTATCGTGGGTTTCACTGTGGGACTGGGAAGAAACAAGAGAGATGATAACTGTGGGGAATTTTTCTTACCCTTGGCCCCTACCCTTGGCCGTGATTGCCGTGCGCGGGCGCCACAATAAACCTCGCACCTTTTAACTTGGTCTGGAATGTTTTGGCATGATCGTCATCTTCTTGTTAGCCGGGAACACGTCGATTCGGCGGGGCGGCGACTCGTTCTCATCCGTTCTTTGGCCCACGCACCGACAAGACGATAGAGAGACTAAGGAAACCACTGATGGCGCACTGTGGGCCGGGGATGAGGTGGTCGGCTTTTTTCCCTCGTTTTTTTTTCTTTTTCGCCATGCCACCCCGACCCCAACTCATGTCTCTTGTCTCAATGTAACCGGGATCAGCAGTAAGGGGCCGTTGGGGAGGGATGTAACTGTGTCGATGGCGTGGGAAACATCCCAAATTTTGTGTGGCTTCTCTTTTTCTTTTGCAGAGTGGGCACGAAAAAAAAAAGTAAGCAAAAAAAGAAGCATGAAAAAAAAAGAGGTATGGATGATTGGCCATAACGCTATTTCTGAGCAGGATCTGGGTGCTTAGACGGGAGGGACACCATGGAAGACGAAAACGGACGAGGTTGGACGAAGCCCGAGAAAAGAAAATACAAGATTTTTTTGAGTTGCGGGAAGGAACACTATGCGGCTTTACCGCGCAACCTAAATCGCAGTGCAGTGAGTGGTTCGTGAGGCTCCAGGGTAGACGATGCGCGAGGTCGCATTCCCGGTTGAGTTATGGTCCTTCCCGATTGTTTGACGAAAATCCGAACTTCGCACCTCGCCACCATCATGCCCACACACACACACCCGCACACCCAACCCATGCCCTGTTCCAAACGCATTTCGTTATCTCGAGCCCATACTTTTTCACCGTTGGGCCACCACCGCTTCGCTTCCCTGCCCCCGGGACCAAAATGGCAACAAGTCGGGCAACATGAAGGCACAGGGAACACACCTCTGGGCGGTCGCACCGCCCCGCCCGTCAAGATCGTTGCCGGCTTGTTTTGTAGCAACGGCAGCAAGGCACCGGACGAACATGGCGTGTGCATGCCTTTCACACACGCACCAGACACTGCCATGGGGCGCCGCCGCTTGTTGTGCTCCCTCCCCTGTCCTCCCGCCTGAATGGCCTCCGTCCACGCGGCGTCTCGGTGCCAAAAATATAACATACCCTGACATCCCTCTTCCCACAGCGACCGCGCAACCCGTCCTTCCAAATGGTGCAGGGTGCGATGAGTCGATTCCACAATGAGTCGATTTCAACGGCTAGAGCACCGCCGCTCAGCCAAGCAAGCAGCAGGTCATGGGGAGGGGGGGCCTCCCCTTTGTTCGCCACGGTCGACAGGATGCCCCTGCCCCGCCTTGTGGTTCTTGCTTTTCCGTCACCACCCGGTGGGAGAAGAAGAAAAGAGCCTGTCGGGAACGGCTGTGCGAGGAACCTTCCAAAGGGGACCCGTTTGCCGGGGTGGGTATGGCTGCCACAGAGGCGCGGGTCCTTGCCTCCACCGCTCCCTGCAGGGACGGGCCACCATGGGTTTCTGGTCGTTCAAGACTCCAGAGTCCCATGTTTCGGCCGCAGAATCCCATCTTCACGGGACCAGTGGGCTGGATGGGCTTAGTGCCACCTTGACCTGTGGAAAGGTTACAGTGCCCGTCCCGTCCTTGCTATCAACCTCCGACTCCACCACCCTCAGCCGTTCACTCATTTAATAACTGTGCGGCATTCCCTGCTGCCAGACCTTCTCCTTCTCTTCGTCCCGGCAGCAGTGCCGGTCCTGTTCCAACCGTTCGTTTTCTTTCGTACCAGTTCGTTTATTTCCTTCGGTACAGGCCTTTGTAATATTCTCCTTTGGTGTCTTTTCCTGTCCTGTCCTTCTTCCTATTCTCTTGTTTCCTAGCTCTTGACGACAGATTTTCGGGGGGAAAAGCATCTGGTATTTCCGCACAATCTTGGGTTTGAAACTTGCCGGCGCTGCAGTCCAACCCAATATCAAGCTGCTGGCAGCAGCGGTTATTATTTTATTTTTTTCGTTTGCTTTTCGTTTCGGCTCGGTTGGCCCCTTGATTTTACCTCGCTTCGTCTTATTTCCCGGAGGGAGGGCAGGGCTCACCACCGCGGAGTAGAGCGAGGGTGACAATCACCCAGGCAGATGAGGTAGAAGCGCGATGCCGGCATCGATGTCGCAGTCCCGCAAGACGCTGGGCTCCGGACAGTTCGATGCACGCAGAAACCAAACCCCGTCGCCGGGCGCCGACGGCGAGGCTCCCCGGCCCAACGGCAAGCCCGTCAACCGGAGGATTTCCGAGTCCCAGACGCCGGCGGCAGCAAGGAGGACGCCATTACGCACGCGCTCGGAGGAGAGACGGCCGCGACCACAGCGCAAGGCCAGCGTAGGCAGTCCCAACGGCTCAACTACTAGCGGCTCCAGCCGCGGGAAGCGGTTTAGCATTGGCGAATCCGACGACGAGGATGACTCGGAACACGAATCCGACTCGGACGACTATCGCCGCTCCTCCCGCTCCCGCTTTCGCTCCAGCCCGGACCAGAGCTCCGTCAACGAACCCTTCAGCTCCTCGGGTCCCAGCCGCAGCTCCAGCCGTGCGGTGAGGCAGCAGCCCACCACTTGCCGAGACCCCAGCAGGGGCCGCAAGTCGAACAGGAGTCGCAGCAGGGCCGCCAGCAAGGCCACTACAACAGACCGCCGGCCTGCCCACAATGGCCCCAGCCCCAGAGGCACGGCCCGGAGCACGTCGGTGCCCGCTCGGAACGGCCTGCTCAGGCGGACCATGAGCAGCCACCGCCGCGAGAGCAACGTGGGCCAGGACGATGGCAGGCCGAACCTGAAGCGGGCCACGAGCCACCACAACCTCGAGAGCCACTCGCGCGACCTCTTGCAGTCGGGCCAGGAACGCCCGCCGCCGCCGCTGTTGCCCGCGGTGATCCCCGAGCCAGAGTCTGCCCGCCCGCGTCGGGGCCAATACCCGTTCGAGAGCTTCATGGGGGAGGACCCGACGCTGGAGACCAAGGCTTCCGAGGTTGTGCGGTCGCGGTCGCAGTCGCGGGGCAGGCCAATGGCAAGAGTGGCCGCCGCCGCCAGTGCTGCAGCCGCCTTCGCGGCTACCATCCCACCACCCCCGCCCGTGCCGGCCAGGGCCACTGCCATGTACCCGGCCGCCAGCTTCATCGGCGAGGGCGCCTTTAGGGGCGCCTCGGTGTCGGCTCCCACCTCGACCAACTCGTCCCCCATTGAGGGGCCGTCGAAGCCGCCACCGCCGAAGCGGTCGGCGTCCACCCCGCCGGGGAGGCTGAGATGGGCAGGGACGGCGCCCGTGGGCATTCCCATCACAGCCATCCAGGGCCACAAGATTGTCCCTGTGGCAGCACGGTCGGCGTCTTCGGCATCCACTACACGCTCGGCTAATAGCAAGCGGTCGGCGTCCACACCCCCGGGGCCAATGGACGCACCCAACCGTCGACCCAGCATCATGCAGGGCCTCCCCCAAGCGCCCCAACCTCCCGCGCGCCGTCCCAGCATGTATCCTTTCGAGAGCTACGTTGGCGAGGACCCGACGGCCGAGATGATGGCGAGCGCTCGCTCCAAGTCAATCCGGGTGCCAACCTCGAGCAAGAAGTTTGCCACAGGACCCTTTGCCCCTGGTGCTGCTGCTTCTGTTGTCGATGCCGCTCCTGCCACCGCCTCGACGCCTCGTCAGCCTCGCACGACACTGTATCCAGCCAGCAGCTTGGTAGGCGAGGATGGCGTGATCAAGGCCGCCAGTGGTGCGGATAAGCGGTCCACAACCGCCGCCGCCATGCCAAAGCCAAGAGTGCTGCCTGCTGCTGGCTCCGCACCCAAGGACACCATCGTCAGTAAGGCCGCTCTTGCTGTCATTATGGGCGGTGGTGACATTGTGGCCTCGCCTACGGAAATTAGGACCATGCATGTTGGCGCCCCACGGCTTTCACTGCAGGCCCTGCCTTCGGCTATCAGACTGGACGAAAAAAGGGGTTTCGGCGATTTGGCCGACGACGAGGATGGCAAGACTACAAATAAGCCTGCCGTCCCGGCTGCGACTGCGGTTGGCGTTGCCATCTCGGATGACGATGTGCTTAGCCAAGTAGACGCAACCAAGGGACAGCCCGCACGACCCGTTCGCCGCAACACAGACGCCGCCTCTCCGGTCGAGAGCGCTTCCGCCACGCCTTTTGCCGACACGGCCGCTCCCAACGAGTTTGTCGATCTCGAAAAGGCCCTGCCGGTCCCGCAGTCCTCCGCCAGGAGCTACGACGGCAACAGCATCCAAAAGGCCCCGGGCGCAGCAGCGGCACCCCCCGCGCTCAGGTCCGGCGAGATGTCGTGGTTCTACAACCCGGGTCTGGGCACAAAGGGCCCACGGGCGTGGAAGAAGCGCACATGGGGCCTGCTGGCCGGGGTGGTAGTCCTCATCGTCGTCATCGCCGTCGCCGTCCCCATGTTGCAGCAGCAGGCGGAGCTCGAGAGGCGCGCGTGGTTCAACACGTACCCGGACTACGCCAGGCTAAACTACAGCCTGAGTGACAACTGTGAGCAGCGGCAGCAGCAGCAGCAGCTGGCCTGCACTTCCTAGAGCGTTTCTTGTCGTTATATTGCATATTCACTTCTCATGTAGCATTCTGTTTGATTTTCTGTTTGGTAATACGTTTCTTGCATTTTTCCTCCCTTTCAATTTTTAGCATCATGTTGCATCTTCCATTGGCATTTTTTTCTTCCTTGTTTATGTCCCTTGCTTCTGGGACATGATCCCGAATGAATGAAATGAAAGCAAGCAAGCAGAGCTAAAGCAGCCACATGTTCAACTACTACAAGCACACACTATAGAAGCAGAAGCCCATTTTCTGAGCCGGCACCGTTCATCTCATGATTTCTAACCCCCTGACTACAGACTCGGGAGCCAAGTTCTTTGACAACTTCAACTACTTTACCGGCTACGACCCCAGTATGTCCCAATCATGGTTCCCTGGCGTCTTTCCAATGTCGCTAACCCACCCCGAAAACAAAAAAAGCCGGGGGCCACGTGCACTACGTCCCGCGCCCGCACGCGGAGCAGCTGAACCTGACGTACGCGACCGAGTCGGCGGCCGTCGTGCGCGTCGACGCCACGGTCGGGCCCGGTGACAAGCCCGATGCCTCGACCGGCCGCTTCTCGGTCCGGCTCGAGTCCAAGCGGCAGCACGACCGGGGCCTGTTTGTCTTTGACGTGGCGCACGCGCCCCACGGCTGCGGCACCTGGCCGGCGCTGTGGATGGCGTCCCTTCACAACTGGCCGCTCGAGGGCGAGATCGACGTCATGGAGGCCGCCAACAAAGGGGACGACGGCAACCTCTTCTCGCTGCACACGACAAAGGGCTGCGAGATGAAGCGGCGCCGCGAGATGACGGGCGTCGCTAAGCAGGCGGACTGCTACAACGGCACCGTCAGTTGCTACCCTCTTTTTTTTCTTTTTTTTTTTCTCTCTCTCTTTTTCTCTGTTCTCCTTCCCTTATCAGGCTATTCCCTAGTTCCACACGCTGACAGGGGTAAAACCCGAACCGGCAGAACTCCAACCAGGGCTGCAACGTCGCGGGGCCCCGTGAGTCGTACGGGCGGGCCTTCAACGCGCGCGGCGGCGGCGTGCTGGCGGTCGAGCTGCGCGACGAGGGCATCCGCATGTGGCAGTTTGCCCGCCCCGACGTGCCGCGCGACCTGGCCGCTGCCGCCGCGGCGCCGAACCCGGCGTCGTGGGGCACCGCCGCCGCCGACTTCCCGAGCACCGACTGCGACGTCGGCGCGCACTTCCGGAACCAGAGCATCATTATCAACATCACGCTGTGCGGGCAGCTGGCCGAGGCCGCCTGGGGGAGCTCGGGGTGTAAGTTGTTTTTCTTGGTTTCTTGCAATGAAAAAAAGGAGACTAGTCGGTTGGGTGATGCTGACTTGTTTTTTTTTATTTTTAAACCGCAACAGGCCCCGGGACATGCGTCAAGCACGTGTCCGACAACCCAGACGCCTTCAGGGACGCGTTCTGGCAGTTCAACGGTCTGAGGGTGTACAAGGCCGCGAGGTCTTGATGCCGAGGACGAAGCGTCACGGCGGGATGCGGCATGTTTCAGGAGTTAATAGGGCGGGTATAATGTTATTCAGGGGCATGGTTGGGGTACACACATATGGTTATAGTGAGAGATATGTCGCAGAAGGGACGCTTGAATATTTTATTGTTTAAAACAAACGTAGAATACGAGGGTTTGTTAGAGAGATGCAACCTTGTTTAGCCCAACAACGTATTAGACGCGATCAGTTCGAGTATTGAGCTCCCATGGTGGTCATGCCTGAAATGAGATATACAGATGTTGTATATTTCTGAGATGCTCAACATACCCCCAGTATGTGATTACAGTACAAGTATGTTTACACGAGGCACTATCTACACGAGCCTCGGCGCCGTACCCAATAACCAAGTGGAGATATTTTTCCTTGCCCGGCTTCCCCGCGGAGCACCGTCTATCTATATTGGTCTCGCGAGCACAAAAGGGGATTCCCACCCCCCGAACCAGATATATATACAGCCAGTATAGTAAAACAAAACGCCGATGCGATGCAAGCCACCAGACCCATCCCAGAAAAAAAAAGCAACAGCAACAGCAAAAAGTGAGCGGCGAGTCCGGACACAACACAACAGCCTCCCCCGCGCGCCTCACTCGTCCTTGGGCGACCGTAGCCACGCCTCGATGGCGGCGCTAAAGGCGGCAAAGCCCACACAGCCGATGGCGGCGGCCTGGGGCCCGCCGTTGCGGGCCAGGACGGCGCCGGCGATGCAGCCGGCGGCGATGCCGTTGGCGGCGTCGTTCTTTGCGCGCAGGCCCTCGATGCCGCACTCGATGCCCGAGAAGAGCGCGCCGACCTTGGCGAAGTTCTTGCCCGTGCTCAGCGACCGCGCCCCCATGTCCTTGAACCCGACTGCCAGCTGCCTGCGCAGCGGCAGCGACGACACCGGCACCGACCCGCTCGCCGCCGCGGCTGCTGCGCCCATGGGCGTCACTGCTGCGGTTGTTGTTGCTGCTGCGGTTGCTGCTGTTGCTGCAGATGATGATGATGCGGCGGCAGCGGCGGCGGCGGTGGCTTCTGCTGCTGCGACGCGGGGGAGGATGGCGGATGGGGGTTTGATCGCTGCTGCTACTGGTGGTGGCGCTACTGCCAGCTTCGCTGCGCTCGCTGTTGTCGTCGTCGTCGTGGCGCCCGGCGTCGCGTTCGGCACGGCCGGGTGTGGTTTCGTGGCGGCGGCGGTGGCGGCGGCGGGCGCGCTGCCGGGTGTGGTGGTCGCCGCCCCTGCTGCAGGCTTTGCTGCCGTGGACTCGGGGGTGACGGTGTGGTAAGGGGTGTCGTAGGCCATCTGCCGCGTGGGTTCTTTTGCGTCAGTCGCAACAAACCTCGCACTTTGTTGTCGCTGGACTTGGGAAACAGGAGAGAGAAAAAGACGGAGCAGATAAAGGCTTACCGAAGCCATAAACATTCCAAACACGGCACCCAGGCCCATGCCCGCGACACCGGCCATGACCGTCTTTGCGTAGCACGACTCCATCATGCCGGCCATCTGTGACGGTGCGAGGTTTCCCGGGTCAGCACTGCGCCTGAGATTGGAAAGCACTGTAATCATGATGGGAAGCGGCGCAAATAGCCAAGTACCATCTTAATGTTGGCCTCGTTGGGGTCCTGGGGCTGCTGCGGCTGCTGGCCGGGCAGGCCAGGCGACCTAGGGAAGTTCATGCGGGCAACGAGGGGGGGCGGGCGGCGCCAGTAATGCCTATTCTGCGGTCGCGGTCCGGCTGTTCTCGTCGGGGGTAGAAGTCGGAGCTTGCTGGCTGTCCTGCAAAGCGAGGGCTCCGAGGTAGGTCGTCGGGAGCCGGCGATCGAGGTCCGTCAACGGAATCGCAAAGGATGATGGCGCAGGTGGAGAGCTTGACCCCTGCTTGGCAGCATGCCACCATGAAAAATAATTTCTGCCATCCCAGACCGCCCCTAGATATCTCGTCACCTCGTCAGCCGTCCTGGCTGCATCAGACCCACCGATCTGAGGAGGCTCTGGCCTGGGGATCCTTGCCTTGGAACTCAATTCCCACGACCGTGCTGCTTCATCGTTTTCAGTTGCCACAAAGTTGTTGCTTGTTGCTACCTGTTTCTACGCCTTCTCTTGCCCGACGCTGACGCCCTTGCTCTCCACCCGTATTCTGACAGTGCCAACTAAACAACAAACAAAAAGGCCTCGAGATAAAAACATCAAAGACCCGGCCAAGTCGTTTTCCCGCTGCTCGCAAGTGCCCTCAACTTCCGGTCTATGTGCTTGACTGTCCTCGTGAGTTTGTTCCATCCTGGGGATTCAAGGCGGAGAATAAGAATTCAAAATTGGCCACAAAAGAAACAGAAACAATGAAATAAGATGAAAAAAAAGCGAGGCCCCAAGTCCTGCGGATAAAGAGACAAGACATCAATGCAATGGCTCGTAAGCTTGACCCAAAGAAATAAGGATGGAAGAAAGAGAGTGGCAGGGGCAAGATTACATGTAGCCGCCATGCGGAACCCACCCATCCCGCTACGGATACGATGCAGGCACCGGAGCACTCCATCCCGAATGAAAATAACAATCCCAGTCGCTTTCCCCAAGCTTGCTCGATGTAAGGCGTGATTCACAAGTCATATTGAAAGGATGGCGGCAGCTAGAAAAGGAGCGGCAATCGTGACCTCGACATTCCCGATCCGCTTCTTTCTCGGTGTAACTTGGGTTTCCTCGAAACTTTCGTTCGTCCCGGAGTTCCCGCTCCCGTCTACTTGAGGAAAAGATCACCGACTCCGTTGCGGAGAGATCTCGACCGGTCTGCATGGTCAAGTCCGAGGAAGTCGTCTTCTGGTTCAGAAAGATCCCAGAGCGTGTCGTCTGTGCGTAGCAAAGTTAGCAAATACAACCCCAAACGGCACGTATAAGCGGGCCGACTTACCATCCTTAAGGTACTGAGGCCGCGAGTATTGTGAGCGCCTAACTACAGAGAACTTGATCTTCTCAAAATTCTTGCCACGGATTGCGGTTCGCTTCTCCAGCCGCTTCTTGGTCTCGGAGAATGGCTCGCCCTATTTCGTCACGTTATCGTGTTAGAATTTTAAGGCGTCCGCCATCGGCCATTGGGAAGTGGATACTAACCTCCTTGAGAAGGAACTTGAACGGCATCCCATGCAGCCTATTCGGCTCGTTCTGATAGTGAAAGGCGTAGATAAACTGGGGGTTCTCCACGCCCTGCTCCTCCTGCGGCACCCGCTCGGCCACGATCGACAGGAAGTCGTTCAGGCTGATGACGGGATATTCGCGTGGAAGCTCTCTTGAGAACTTGTGCGTATTGACCTCGAAGATGCGGATCGGGCCCGCCTCCTCCTCGCTCTGTAGCTTGGCCTTCTTGATCAGCGCCTCGATGAGGTCGTCGACCATGCCGCTCTTGGTCACCAGGAGATCGTAGTGCTCCTCCTTGGTGATACCCTCGCTGAGCCACGTGAGCTTGACATTCTTCTTGGTGTCGAGCTCCGAAAGGCTCATGTCGAGAACCTCAAAGTACAGAGCGTCGTTGCGTTGCGCCCCCTGACTCATATGCCCATAGATCGGGGGATTGAGGATGGTCCCAAGAGTGGCCGTGGGGCCGCGCTTGACCGGTAGCCTGGGCTGGCCAGTGGTGCCGTGCAGAGTCGAGAACCTGAGGTGAGTTGGCGGCACACCGAGGCGCTCGCCCACCTTCTCGGCGAGCTGGTCGTACGTCATCTTGGAGTTGAGCACCATCTCGAAGGGCTGGTGCGCGCTCGGATCGCCGCGCGTGGGGTGCGCGTGGAACCGAATCATCTTCTTGTTCACCAAGAATTCGTAGTACTCCTTTGCATCCTCAAAGTTGTCCGACTTTCTGCATGTTTGCCAAGTGGACAGTCGGTCAGCTAGTGCTCTAAAGGGCCGTTTGCGGATACATGATCCGCATGGATGCTCAGAGGGCGACTTTGGGGATCAACTTACGCCTCGTCCGATGTCCTGGAATCACCGCCTAACCTCTTTTCTAGGAAGTTGGATGTGCCTGTCTCCCGCTTCCTCTGAACACATATGATGTCGCCGTCCTGCAGCTCGGCAGCCTTTAAAGATTGCTTCGCCTTGAGACTCTCAATCATGCTGGGTTTGATCTCCTGTAGAAAACGAGTTAGTGCTCTGTTGGGGCAATGATTTGGTCTCGGCTCTGCGTGCACCTACCTCCCACAGGAGCATCTTCTCATCGCTGGGTAGTTTCTCGCCCACACCCAACTTCCTAAGGATGATGGGTATCAAGTCATCCACCTTCTTCTCCTTGTTGATGTACGTGTAGCCAAGTCCGCTCAGCGTCTGTGACTCGACGTCAAAGTACTTCAGGAATAGCAGGATCAGGTCGTTCTTGACAATAACTCCGTTAGGCGACTGTCCCTGGTAGGTCGGCCATATGACCTCGCCGCTCTCGCTGACGTCCTCGGCAACCTCGACCCATACGCGCAGGGCCTCGTCTCTGTGGATCGATGAAGCTCTACTCCATGTGTCTTCCAGACTGGGACGCAAATCCATGATGGGCTGGTCGGGCCGGATCGTCTTGTTCTGACGGTTGACCATGATCCACAGCCTCACCCTCTCTGGCTCATGTCCAAGGTCCTTGGCGATCGACTCTGTTACGTCCTTCATGGACGCGGTCCGGAATTGCTTGTACAGTCGCGGAGCTGCGGGGTTGGCGTCCTGGGTCTGGTTGGGAGTAATGTCGAAATTGGTCATGTCAAACCCGCCGTGGGCGCGGAACGTGTCGGAAGTAACCGCCTTTATCCAGCGGTACAGGTGCTGCTCCTCCCTCTCCTTGCGCTTGGCCTCCTTAGCAGCCGCTTCCTCATCGAACCGGGTTTCTGTCGGCGTGTTAGTGAAGGCACGATAACGGAACCCCCCTGTGACAGCACGGCCGACTTACGGATGTGCTGGGGCATGTCGGCTTGCGTCACCGGCGTCAGAATGTCGTCAACGCGCGACTGCCGGATGTAAACCAACATATATGCGCTGTTGGGCCGCATCACGACCTTCTTTGTGGCGGCCGGCTTGAATCCGTTAGGGTACTGGAAGGGGCCGCCGAAATTGTCCTCCAGGACCTCCCTCATCGTCGCTTTCGTCACCTTGTCGTCGTCGTACTTGTAGAACCAGCCGTCCTTGTTCGGCTTCAGGAAGGCGTAGTAGTGGCCAGCATTGAGGTCGCCGCTGTGAACCAGCACACCGTGCAGCTGGTAGGTCCAGGGTTCGGACCTGTCCGAATCCTCCGAGAGGAATGGGGCGGCATCAAAGACCTCGGGAAACTCGTAGCGGTCGTTGACCTTGGTCATGGCGTCCTTTGTGAAGTCGTACTCGAAGCGCTTGAGCTGCAGATGGAGCACGTCGGGAAACGAGGTGAATATGACGCCCTTGTTTGCCTCCTGCAGCTTGTGCTCATCTCCAGCAAAGTACTTGTTCTCGCCCTCCATCTTCTCGACCGAGATGTAGTCCTTGAAGCTGTTTAGGAGGTTACCCATCTTGCTGACATTGAGCTGAACGTCCCAAAAGTCCTCGACTCGGCTGGACTCGTAGTTGACGTGAATGCAAGATATGTACGTCTTGATCTTGCCGCAGAAAAGCCTTGGGAGTACGTTTTCGGCCTCAGTGCCCTTCATCTTCTCCTCCATGCGCTCCATCAGCTTCCGTGAAAGCTCCTGCACGTCTTGTTGCTCGAATATGTGACGCGTCTCCCAGCCGAACGACTTGGTCAACTCGGCCGTGCCGACTGCGCCGCTCGAGGTCTGGAGCTGGTAGAAGAGCCGTTGCAAGGTGTATGCGCTGTTACTCATGCTCTCCTCTTGCTGCGTCGGGATCTGGTAGATGGCTTTGCGGAAGGCGTTGGTGAAGTAAAGAGACTGCAATAGCGAGTTTAGGTAGCACGTGGCGCCCTGGTTTTTGAGCCCAACATATCCTGTTTCCTTCTTGGAGTCGTAGTTGGTGAAGTTGTGCCACAGAACGCCAGTCTCATCCTCGACGATCCTGACGTAGGCAGTGATGTTGACACGGTCGTCCTCCACCATGGGCCGGTCGAAGTCCTCATAGGGGAGGTTGAACATCTTGCTCAGCTCCAGAAACCTGGTAAATCCCCAGTCACCCTCCTCCTTGGTGAACCTGTGGTGAGCTGTGTGGTGGGTATATATGGAGGGGTCGTTGGGATTCCAGAGCACCAATGAGAACTGCACGCAGCAGCTCCAGTCCTCTGGGATATCGCTCGGATCGAAGCCATGTTCGAGGTAGATGGAGGCGTGCGACGTGTTGTTGCCTTGAGGGAATATGAGAATGCGCCTGAACGCACGTGTCAGCAGCTTCTATCGTAAACGCCCGCGCTGGTGGGCCGGAGACGGCAAGGCGTCGCTTCATACCAGGGGAAGCCGCCTGCTGTGAATATGGGGCCATGGTCCTTCTTGGGCAAGCTCCTGTAGGCCTCAACCTCCCATGTGTGGTGGACATCTTCGAGGGTACGGGGCTGCTCGACAAGAGGGATGAGCACCTCGTTTTTTATGGCCTCGACTGTGCACACAAGGTCTGTCAGCTAGGCGCCATGCAAAAAAAGTCATCGCCAAATCCTCCCGTCTGGTTCTGTGTTCCCCCTCTTTTTTTTCAGGACGATTGAGGACGCACAGTCGGTGGCCAGCGGTCGCGCTGGCGTCTCCTCGGCGAGGGTATCGGGGGTGATCTCGGTCACGGTATCCTTCTCCAGGACGCCGTTCGCCTCGACGACATGGTCGACGCTGTCCACCATCATGGCGTTGGGGGAGTCAGGGATTTGGTCCTGGGCCCGGCGATACTAGTTAGCGAGGGCGCGAAGAGGCGCGGGGACGACGAGGCTGAATATGTTGCCGAGAGATTTCAGCAGAGCATGCTGCGGCATGTTTAAGAGAGGGAGGCTTTGGAAGTTTTGGGGGGATATGTGTGTGGTGACGGGCGAGGGTTGGCTGCTGGTGAAGTCGAGCAGAGATGGCCCGAGTTTGGCGGGACGGACAAGGCTGGCCTTGCTTAGTTGCGGGCAAGCTTCTTGGCGTCAAGCAAGGGCAGCGGGGAGGCAAGGCAAGCAGCGGAAGGCGTTGGTGTGATGGATTGGGCAGCGAGAGTCGCATAGTCAGGAGAGAGCAGCGCCGGCGCTGATCGGCGGGACAACTTACCATGGTGGCGGCTGGTGACGACAGTCGAGGCTTCGGCAGGGCGACGCGCGGGGAGCAAGGACGTTCGCAGGAAAGAGCCCACCCTGGGAAGCTAGGTCGGGGCCAGTGTCGAGCGAGAAGGCCTGTCTCGGCGAGGCCGGGCTGCGTCAGGCGAAGATGGGGAGGCGGCAGGCTGCGTGGCCGCTCCTGGGGGTTGAAGTTTTATTTTGTAAGCCAAAAGTCGGGTTGGGCGGCGGAAGTTGTCAAGCAGGCTGGTCGTGGCCGTCGCCCGCTTTGCGTTGTGTTCACAAATTTGCGAGTGGAGTTTGGCGGGAAGGCAGCAGGGGCACGGGCACACGGAAGTCTTGTGCATCTATGCAGCAGTCGTGTGGAGGAGCCGTGGTAAGCGCAGCCAACAGCAAGGCAGGCGGGCAGGCAGGGGCTTAGTCTCAGGCTCAGGCTCCGTCGCGGCGTGGCAGCAAACTTGGATGTTCCCGCAATTTGATGTTATCAATGATCGCCACTTTGCTCTGGGCTGGGCTGTGCTGAAAGAGCGGGGGACGCGGGCGCTGCACTTAGGTACCCGAGGGAGAGGAAGGTCTTCGCTGCTGTACCTGTGGTGAAGCCCACTTAATGCGGGCCAGCACCCCCACGGTCAGACCGACAACCCAGTCACGCCCATCACCAAACAAAATGCCAGAAAATGACGAGGCACTGAGCACGCTGTGACCATTCTCAAGCCGCCCTGTGCCACCACCACTACCACTACCACTTGATTGCCCCACAGTCCCAATGCACGGCGCCCCTCCCCCAATGACGTTGCTGCATTCTTGACATCACCCTCCCTCTACTCTGTAAACACAGCAGGGTCGATTGACGTTGAATGCTGGCACCAGTCGTTTGCCTCTGGTGCAATAATTATTCATGTTGCTATATTGTAATACATTTCTGGGTATCATACCATTCGGCAACCCCTTTTCTATCAGCTCGGGACATTGGTGGCTCCAGGGTACTTGCGCCTGGTTGACTTTGCGTTTGGTCGCGTCCAGATCGATGACACCGTCAAAGCCTGCCTAGAGTTGTTCGCCCAGCTTGTCAGACCAGAGAACAAGGTTCTAAGCCTAGCTAAGGTTTGTGTCAATTGGTTGCACCACGAAGACTCTACACGTGCCCAGCACGTTTTCTTTCCAGTTTTCATTTCCTATCCCATGACTTTTTGTTTCCTCCATTCTGTCAGGACGGACTCGGGAGACATACAAGTTCTGGAAATACTAGATGGCATTGAATGGACCACCCCTGGTCCGTCATGCTCTAGCCCTCAACTCGATGTGGATATATATATAAATTTATTTACCCCTTTTCAAGCTATATAGCCCATGGGGATCACTACGGATCGGGTTAACTACATAAAGGTAAAAATCGTGCCTCCAGCCGATAGCTGTTTGATGTGAGGCTGGGTGAAAACTCCTTCCCTTCGAGGTCTCTGCGGCTCCGCGTCTTCTTCGTAAGTAGTGACTCGATGGGGATAAGGCGTGTCTTCTAAGATTGATGAAACGCAACCCTCGCCTCCATGTCGCTTCACCGAGGAAATAGTAAGTAGACAAGCCTGATGCAGGTTCCATCCACCGTGGCCTGATGAGCCTCGTTCTACCAGTGGACATGGACGCGGTGGTGGACATCAAATGGCCCCATTGAACCGCGTCGCCCCGCCTGAAGCTCTGGGAAATTGTGGGGTAACCCTCGGCAGCCAGAGCTTCAGGTGTGGAAAGGGAAGGTGTAGTTGAGTGAGAGGCACCTTGGTCCTCCATGACTTACACTGCGAGTAATTCTCACATGGGGCCCTCTCTTCATCATCCCTTTTTTCCAGCCCCTTTTACCCTGTAGAACTCCGGATGGGCGCGCCTAACCTTCTATGACGTCGAGGCCCTGCTGCGTGTAGGAAGATCCTCAATTCTTTCCGTCAATCCTCGCCCGCCTACCCTCAACTGTCAGCCAGCCCTGTGCCATGAGAGCCCTGAGACCACCCAATTGCGGCGCGGCCGCGCGCAGGCTGGCAGTCCGCCCTGCTGCGGCATCGGCGCCCCGCTGTGCCGCCTGCTCGCGCGACGCCGGACAGCGGCGCGCGATATCCCACCGGCCCCCGTCGTGGAGGCCGCTGTCCGCCCTTGACGAGTGCGTCTCCCCGACCTGCCGTTATTTCTCTAACCACGCAGCCGTGCAGCCCGGTGGTGGTGATGCTAGTGCTGGTGGTAACAGGGCTGGCGGCAGCGGCGACTTTGGAGATGTCGTCTTGCAACGTTCCTGGGCTCACGTGGCGAGTGTGCTGGAAAGATGGGTAGCAAAGGAAGCCCGTCCCGTCAGCCTGCGCCAGCTCATGTTCTTTGGACGCTCCCTGACCGAGCCGCGCCTTCTGAGCTCCGCAAACTACGTGCGCACCGAGCTGCCGACAAGGTAGGAAGAAAGCTTGGGCTGTGGTTCTCAAGACGCTCGCACTTGGTCTTAGGCCCCCCTCTCTTCAAGACTGACATGGCACACCGGGCTTCCAGATTATCGCACAGGATAAGAGATATGCAGCTCCTTCCTTACATGGTGGTGTCCAATTCTCACATCGCCGAGGTGTACAATATGTACTGGAATGCCTTTGACACCTTTCGCAAGGTCAAGGAGATCGAAACCCTGGAGGACAACGAGAACTTCTGCAAAATCATCAGCCAGATGCTCAAAACCCACCTGGCCGTCATCCCCAAGCTCGCGATGGGCGTGCTGGAAAGCAGCGCACTGATGGACCAGGATGAGCTGAACAAGTTTATGAACAGGATCCTGCAATCTGTAAGCCAGCACCAAGGGGAAAGCGTGAAGGACCAGCCAGCCAAATGTCTAACACGCAACTTTCGCAGAGGATTTCCCGCCGCGTCATCGCGGAGCAGCACCTCGCCCTGACAGACGGCTTCAGCAAGGGGCAGCGCCACCAACACCAACACCGCCAGCACCACCGCCACGGCCCCTCATCCGCCGCCCCATCCTCCCCGTCAGCCGAGCCCGACTTCGTCGGCAACGTCCTGGTCAAGTGCGTCGCCAAGGACGTCGTGGAGCGGTGCGGCGCCGCCGTCAAGGAGCTGGCGCGGTCCGCGCACGGCCCGGACGTGGTCCTGCCCGAGATCCAAGTCGAGGGCGACCTGGGCGCGAGCTTCCCCTTCATCCTCAGCCATCTTGAGTACATTGTGGGTGAGCTGCTGCGCAACAGCGTCGACGCCGTCGTCGAGCGCTCCGCCAGGAGGGGGCAGCAGGAGCAGCAACAGCAGTCGCCGCCGCCCCCGCCACCCATAGAGGTCACCATCTGCGAGTCGTCGCAGCACGTCATCGTCCGCGTCTCGGACCAGGGCGGCGGCATCCCGCGCGACATGCTCCCCTACCTGTGGTCCTTCAGCAAGGGGCCCCACAGCGGCCGCCTGCTCGGGAACCTGGGCAAGGTGCCCAAGCTGTCGGCCACGCTGCAGGAGGTGCGTGTCGAGGCCGATTACAACTACCAGCGGCCCGAGGAGGCGGAGGAGCAGCGGGCTGATCAACATGGACGCCCGGGCGCCACCGCCGCGCCGTCGCCGTCGTCGTCGTCCCTGTCGTCGCTCTCGTCGAGGCCGCCGAACCTGAGGCTCGGCATCGGACTGCCGCTCAGCCGTGTCTACGCCGAGTACTGGGCCGGCAGCCTCGAGCTGCACAGCCTCGAGGGCTACGGTGTCGACGTCTTCCTCCAGATCTCCAAGCTGGGGAACAAGAACGAGCAGCTCACCACCAGGGCGAGCATGGATGCTGTGTAGTGGCAGCACCGCGAGGCCCTGGGGAGGTTGGATCTTGTACATTGAGGGACAGACAGAGACGCTCCAAGACGTGTAATTGATACCCTTTTTTCTTGCCATTGTTTTCGGGGAGTTGGTGGCGCTAGCTGGGGAGGTACAAAATGACTTTTGTCAATGGTCTCATTCGTGTTCGTCCGGCGCACTCGATCCTGCGAGTATTGGAGTATTATTAAACTGAACAGCCATTCTCCATTATACTGGTATCATAAAAGAAAGGCTGAATTACATCACGACTAAGACTTGGAGATGGAAAAACAGGGGTTGCGTGGGAACAGAGTCTCACACTGGGAAGAAACGAAACAGAAAAAGCGTCCGAACCACGAACCGCCCCAGCCACCATGCGGTTCCTTCCAACCATGCACTACGGGGAATCATTTTCGAACCGTCCTTTCCTAAACGCTCCATTACAGGCCCGGTACAATAAAACAGGGGAAGCTGGAAACCCAGAGGATAACCTGGGCCGACATATATCTATCTCGCAGCATTGTAGAGGCTAGCACATCCCGTTTCGAAGGGCTGGGCTGCACGCTGGGATAAATAGCTCACGGGAGGGTGTCGGGTATGATTAATCAACTGGGGCCGCTCCATTGCTGAGTATCCGAGCGGCGGCGGAACGGGCGGCGGATCGAACAGGAGGCCGAACTGCGGGATGTAGCGTCCCCAGGTGCATCCTGCCACAAAGACCCACGCACGGGCATGCTGGAATGACCAAGCATTGTCGACTAGATCTAGCGGCGGCCGTGCGAACGGTTGGCAGTGCTCTGCATACCCTCCAGCTCGCCTTCCAGCTGCTTGATGGTGGCATGAGTGTGCTCCAGGTCCTTGTTGAGGCGATCGCGCTCGGCAATGAGCTTCTGCTCCCATTGCCTGAAGCGTTGCTCCTCGATCTTGACCTGCTCGGTGAAGCGCTTGCGCAGGGCCTCCTCCTCCTCCTTGAACTTGGGGTTATCAAGCTTGCGGGGCCTGGCCTCACCGAACTTGCGCGTCTCCATCTGCTGGGCGCGGTAGGCCTCGTAGTGCAGCTCCTCAGTCGTATGAATAAGGTCGAGCATGTGGGTACGGATCAGGATCGACCGCAGCTTCTTAAAGTCGCAGTGGTCCTCGTTCTCCACCTCGGCGACACCCCACGAGTACTGGCGACCCTTGACGATCCGCCCATCGCCCGTCTTGACGTCCTTCTCGGATCCGATCACGGCGAAGGGCATAGCCGCCATAAGGCTGCGGGCGTGCTGGGCGGCCGCCTCGTCATCCTCCTCGATCGGGGGCTGGTAGATCTTGATGCTCTGGGCCTCAATGACAGCTCGAATCTGCGGAGCAAGTGTTAGTCCCGAAGGCCGTAGCATCGGGGCGTTATAGCGAGGGGCTTACGCGTTGCTTGAACCTAGCAAGGTCGGCAGGGCTGAGAGTATCGGCCTTGGCGATAACAGGGATAAGGTTGACCCTTGAGCAGAGGCGCTTCATAACCTCGATGTCGAGAGGCTTCAGGGTGTGGCCGGTCGGGCGGATAAAGTACAGGCAAGCGTGGACACGGAGGTCGATCTTGTCCTGGCGGCGGGGCTGCTGCTCCTGCAACATGTAGGACTCGTGCTGGTCGTCGAGGAACTCGATGATGGGCATCCAAGAGTCCCTGTTGTTCACGTAGTCGCCGAAGCCGGGGGTGTCGATGACAGTCAAGCGGACTGGCGGGCAAAGTTCTGTCAGCAGATGTTCACACAACCCATCGCAGGGCGGTATGCGGCCGGACAACTACACACCCTTGAAGAACTTCTCCTCCAGCTCGGCCTTGGTGATCTCGATCTCGACAGTCTTGTCGATCTGCTTCTGGTGCCGGCGCTTGTGGTCGGCATAGTTCTTGATCGTGGTGGAGAACAGGGTGTTGATGAAAGTCGTCTTGCCCAGCCCGGACTCGCCAGCGACCTGTAAGTGGCGGATGCCCAACGGTTAGAGAACTGAGGTTTCCAAAGCCCGAAGCAACAGAAAGAACACCGGGCGGGCTCATACCATAATGGTGAAGGCGGCACCACGCTTTGCCACGATCTTGTGCCGCTGGTTGGGCAGATTGGCAATGCCAATCGGTGAGGCGCTCTCGGTGGTGGCGGATGCCATGATGGGCAGTAAGAGAGGGAGCTAGAGATTCAGAAGAGATGATACGGTTTAGGCCGTCGTCTTGATGGCCGTGGTCTGCACAATGGTGGTGGAGGTTGCTGCCCAGAGACGCGCGAGTATGGAATTTGGAGAGTCCGAGGTAGGAGAGTTCTCGAAATGCTTCCTGTGCAGCGTGTTGGCAGTTGAAACGGAAGGCGGGAGCATGCTTTCAGGGGAGCCGGGGAGATTGGGACCGTCAAATTTCCAAAGGGTCGATGCACGAGCCACTTCTGGGGTCTTCACTCTGCGGTGTGCAACCCAATCCCTGTCGCGGGTGGTTGAGTCTGGTCACCCTGAGAACCCCTGAACCGTTCTAGGCTCAAATTGTGTTAGTGGACGGGGAAGGATCAAGTATCTGCCGACCCCTCCAAGCCAGCTGGGAGGCGGTCAGGGAAAAAAAAAGAAGAAAAAAAAACCTCCCGGAATTTAGCTCCAGTTAATGACCTGCACAGCGGAGCGGCCCCACCAACCGCCGCGCGATTCGAAAGGAAGCTCCGTCGCGGCAGCTGCAACTTTTGCTACAGACAAAAAAATATTGCGCAATGAGGTGATGATGAAGACGGATTTCAAGGTATGCAGCGCACACTTCTGTCTTCCTCGACTCGGTCGGCGCATTTGAACAGCGTCCCTTTGGGCCCCGACTAACATTATTGGCAGTTTTCCAATCTGCTTGGAACGGTTTACTGTCGGGGCAACCTCCTCTTCAGCCCCGACGGCACCCATTTGTTCTCTCCGGTCGGAAACAGGGTCACCGTCTTCAACCTTGTCGAGTGAGAACCCCGCGCCCCATCTCCCTTTTCCGAGCAGTGCGCCCTACTGAGGACTGTAATCACTAATCTGCGCCGGCAGTAACAAATCATACACCCTCCCTTTCTCCCATCGCAAAAACATCACCCGAATCGGCCTTACTCCGCGCGGGAACCTGCTCCTCTCGGTCGACGAGGATGGCCATGCCATCTTGACCAACGTTCACCGGCGCATAGCCGTGTACCACTTCTCCTTCCGCGCTCCCCTGACCGCCCTTGCCTTCTCCCCCTCGGGCCACCACTTCGCCGTCGGCCTCGGTCGAAAAATCGAGGTCTGGCACGTCCCCTCGACCCCCGATTCCGCCGGCGCTGAGGACGGCCTCGAGTTCGCCCCGTTTGTGCGCCACCACAGCCATGTTGCGCATTTTGCCGATGTCTGCCAAATCGAGTGGTCGCGCGACTCGCGCTTCTTCCTGAGCGCGTCCAAGGACCAAACAGCAAGGATATGGAGCTTGAACGCCGAGGAGGGCTTCACGCCCACAGTGCTGTCAGGCCACAAGGAGGGCATTGTGGGCGCCTGGTTCTCGCTCGACCAGGAGACCATATACACAGTCAGCAAGGACGGTGCTGTTTTCAAATGGCAGTATGTCGGACCCCCTGATAGGGGTGATGACGATATGGAAATGGCCAATGAGGACGACGATCGTTGGAGGATAGTCGGGCGGAACTACTTCAAGCAGAACGCATCGCTAAAGTGCGCGGCATACCACCCAGAGTCGAACCTTTTGGTGGCGGGTTTCTCAAACGGCCTGTTTGGCCTCTACGAAATGCCCGACTTCAACCTGATCCACACTCTCAGCATATCACAAAACGCCATCGATTTCGTCACCATCAACAAGAGCGGAGAGTGGCTCGCATTCGGAGCGTCCAAACTGGGCCAGCTGCTTGTATGGGAATGGCAGTCAGAGTCTTACATCCTGAAGCAACAGGGCCATTTCGACTCGATGAACGCATTGGCGTACTCGCCCGACGGCCAGCGCATCGTCACTGCTGCGGACGACGGGAAGCTCAAAGTTTGGGACATTGAGTCTGGCTTCTGCATCGTCACCTTCACGGAGCATACTTCGGGCGTAACAGCCTGTCAGTTTGCAAAGAAAGGCAACGTGCTCTTCACGGCCAGCTTGGATGGGTCAATCCGCGCCTGGGACCTGATAAGGTACCGCAACTTTCGCACATTCACAGCACCCACGAGGCTGTCATTCTCTTGCATGGCTGTGGACCCTAGTGGTGAGGTTGTCGCTGCGGGTTCCATTGACTCGTTTGACGTGCACATCTGGTCCGTGCAGACTGGCCAGCTCCTTGACCAACTGTCAGGGCACGAGGGCCCAGTGTCGGCCCTAGCTTTCGCGCCCGATGGTGGACTTCTGGTCAGCGGGAGCTGGGACAAAACGGCGAGGGTATGGAACATCTTCAACAGGACGCAGACGAGCGAGCCGCTCCAGCTGCAGGCCGATGTTCTCAGCGTGGCTGTCAGACCAGACTCGTCCCAGCTGGCGGTCTCGACCCTGGACGGACAGATCAGCTTCTGGTCGGTATCAGAGACACAGCAGGTCTCAGGTGTTGACGGTCGCCGTGACGTCTCGGGCGGCCGCAAGATCTCGGATCGGCGGACAGCAGCTAACGCGGCGGGGACAAAGGCCTTCCACGCTATTCAGTACAGTATGGACGGGAGCTGCTTGCTTGCCGGTGGCAACAGCAAATACTTGTGTCTATACTCGACCACCACAACAGTTCTGCTCAAGAAGTTCACCGTGAGCGTCAACTTGTCGCTGTCTGGTACGCAGGAGTTCCTCAACAGCAAGATGATGACGGAGGCTGGACCGCAGGGGCTCCTTGACGACCAAGGGGAGACCTCGGACCGCGAAGACCGCAAGCAGAAGGCTCTACCTGGCTCCAAGCGCGGTGGCGACCCTTCTGCTCGATCAACACATGCGGAGATCAAGGTCTCGGGCGTATCCTTCTCGCCCGCGGGGACAGCCTTTTGCGCCGCTTCGACCGAGGGTCTTCTCATTTACAGTCTTGATCAGACGGTCCAATTCGACCCATTTGACCTGAACATGGAGATCACGCCGGCGTCGACGCTGGCGGTCTTGGAGACGGAGAAGGACTACCTCAAAGCGCTGGTGATGGCTTTCCGGCTCAACGAGGCCGGACTGATCAAGCGCGTATTCCAGGCGATTCCATACACAGATATTGGACTTGTCGTTGGCCAGTTCCCAACAGTGTACGTGGCCAGGCTGCTGCGGTTCGTCGCCGCGCAGACCGAGGAGTCGCCACACGTCGAGTTCTGCCTCCTCTGGATTCGTGCTCTTGTCGACGAGCATGGCGCCTGGCTGACGGCCAACCGCGGCAAGGTCGACGTCGAGCTCCGCGTGGTTGCGCGCGCCGTGGCGAGGATGCGCGACGAGATCCGGCGCCTGGCGGACGAGAACGTCTACATGGTCGACTACCTCCTTGGCCAGCCCAAAGTCCAGCGCAACGGAGGTGCCAAGGCCATCGCCGCGCCTGACAACTTTTTGTTGCCGATTGACAACAAGGTGCTCGGCGTGGTCTCGGCGGGTGATGTCAAGGTCCAGGATGAGGACTCTGATGGGGAGTGGATCGGGCTGGATTAAGCTCGAGGGGTTTATATGCGCTTACAGCCGTAGAGCGCCTCACATTTGTCAATTGGGTTACCGTTGGTACAAGAGTTGCTTCGATATCCAATACATTTTCTGATCATGGGGACAGGGTATGTACTGCCTCCCTGTCTTTATCTCTAGACCTTTCCCGACCATGTTCCTGGTGTCTGGGCCAGTGCTAGTGATGCAAGGATTACAGCTTGGGGGCGTCCTCGATGTCCTAAACAAAAGGGTTAGCAGGGCAAAATGCCTACATGCGGGGAAAGCAACCGACCCTCCATGCCTCCTTCAGCCCTGTCGTGCGGACCCAGCGCTCCCCAGGCGCCTCGACCGAGTCAGCAATCATGTTCAGCACCTTCATCCAGTTCTCCCTGCCCCTGAGGCGCATCCAGTCCCGGTCCTCGTACGGGGCCGAGGCCCGCATACAGATGGCCGCGGCCCGGGCCAGCTTGATGGCGTGGCCGTCGTCGTCAAAGTCGTGCAGGCGCGAGGCGACGTCGATGGGCTCGGCGGCGGCGGCGGCGGCGGCGGTGGAGGGGTCGGCCCTGGGCCTGTACCCCGCGATGCGGTCGACCGACATGGGCGGGACGGCGCGCGCGGCGTACTGCGCCAGGTCCAAGCGGATCTTCCACTCGAGCAGGCGCACCTTGGCGTCGGTGGGGATCCAGGGGGCGGCGTTGACCGTGAGGAAGATGGGGGCGACGTTGACGTGGTGCCTTTTTTGTGAGTTGTCGTTCCCAGTTTGCCATTCTCTGTGTCCACAATGATATACTCTGGGGGGCGGGGAGAGTGTGTTTTAGGGCCACTTACATCAGGAAAAAGTCAAACTTGGGGTGCTTCGTCGGGTGCGCGGCGGCCGAGGCGGCCACAAAGACGGCCTGGTTGAACATCTCGACTGTCCGCTCCTCCAGCTCCCCGGGGCGGACGCGCACCTTTGCCGCGAGCGCCACTAGCTCGTCCCTGGCGCGCGTCAGGGCGCCCTGCACGAGCTTGTTGCCGTCCTCGTTGCGGACCGAGCCGGCGATGGCGGCGTCGGCAGCGGCCTGCTCGTACAGCGACGCGATGGGCGGCATCCTGTAGTCGTCCCCCTCCTCCTCCCCGCCGCCCACGGGGTGCTTCTCGTCCGCCAGCGCCTCGGCCCCGACCAAAAAGTCCCGGATCTCGTCGCCGTGCACGCACGCCTGCGCCAGCGCCTCGGCCACCACGGCCGGCTGCTCCCACTCGACGCCGTACATGAGCTGGATGAGCGGGTGCACGAAGCCTGATAGCAGGCGGACTAGCGTGTCGGTGGCGCGCGCGTCGGCCCGGTCCGCGACGAGGGCGTGCTCGACCAGCACGTCGCGCCAGCCGCCGGGCCCGCGCCGGTCCATCTCGCGCTGGAAGAAGGCGAGCAGGTCCGGGTAGCGGCTCGCGCGGCCGAGGAGCTTGCTGGCGGCGGCCCAGTCGGATGGTGGCTCGGGCGGGCCAGAGGAGGGGGAGGGGGAGTCGCTGTGGAGAGGCAGGGCGGGCCGCTGGTACGAGGCGTTGGCGTCGTAGGCGCGCTGCAGGGACGCGGCGGAGGCGCCGGTGCCGTAGAGGGCGAAGATGTGGTGGGGGATCTGGGGGGAGTGGCCGTGGTGAGCAGGGGGTTGTGCACATTGGGAGCACGTGCTTCCTCCCCCGTCTGGCTGCTCACTGCTTGCCTGCCCGACTTACATGATTGTGGAAGCCGTCGTCGTTGAAAAAGACATGGTGGTCCTGTGTATACAACAGTGAGCATTTAGATAGGGACTACAGCTTGGAGAAGGCATAGCGGAATCTGGTCCCGTACCCTGATGTCTTGCTGGAGCAGCTCGGATGCCTTGCGGGCAGCCTCCCCAGACGTGGGGATCTTCAAAAGCCCAGTGTTCTCGGGTACAAGGTGTATGCGATAGGGGGTGGCCATGGTGGAAGCTGCCGTGGAAGTCTGGCGGCGCGTGTAGAAGGGTGAGTATCGGACTCGAGAGAGCTGTGCGATACCCGGAAGTAGGCGTGGTAGAATCATGACACAGCTCAATTCTAGAAGACAGAGTGACGCATGGGTCGACCGTCTGATTTATAGATGCGGAGAGGGATTAGAACATGAGGAGGAAGTGTGCCATCGGCGCCTGGGCCAGATTTCGAGCTCCGATAATTCCGAGGAGCGAGCTTTCGCTACCCCAAATCCATCAAATCCCGAACGACGGATTTGCGGACAAGCGGCCATTTCCACAATTAGGCAGTAAAATGCCAACGCGCTGCTGTCCATTCAAGGGCCGCGGCGGCACCGGCCAGGCCACTTCTCTTGCCGTGATGGGGAGGTATTTTTATCTCTTTTCGTAGCCTTGGAGACGATTATCCTTCTTTCAGTGCTTCAAAACATTATCGTTGAAAAAAAAGTGGAGACGATGGTCGACATTGTACGTTTGCTTTCAGAAGTATATTCCGTTGCTTTCTCCTCACCATAAATTCCCCATGACTGCCATCTCAGCTACACTATGATGATCTTGTGCCCGCCCTAGGCAAAGACATAATTAACCAGCAAATAGACACCCTCAACCTTGTCCTCCTTGTCGCCCAAGACCTTGGTGCCGACAACCTTGACCTCCCAGTCGTCCATGCTCTTGACGTCCTGCAGCCCCGACCACGTCACCATGGTGCAGTCGCCGACGGCCGCGGACTCGCCACTGCCGTCCGTGACCCCCTTGATGCTCAGCGCCCTGGCGAGCTCGGCGTGCCTGGACGCCAGCGCCACGGACCGCACGGCCAGCTTCGGCTGCCGCCTGGACCAGAACGGCAGGCGGTCCTTGAGGCTGCCCAGCTTCACGCCCACGTCGCCCTCGGCCGTTCCGCCGCGCGTCTCCAGCAGCCTCTTCGAGAAGTCCTGCCACTCCTTGGCGAAGTCGCTCCTGAGGTCCCAGAAGCCCCAGAAGCCGTCGGGCCCTGCGCCCTCGGCCCGCGCGGCCTTGGCGAGGTTCTGGACGGCCTCGCCCGCCGCCCTGCGCAGGCGCGCACCGCCGTCCTGCGCCGTGTACTGCAGGTGCAGCAACACGTCGCCGATGGTCCCGTGGTCGAACTGCGGCATCTCGGTGGGCAGGTCAAGGCGCCAGGTGGACACGGCGCCGGCGCCCTCGAAGGGCATGTACCTCGACCCGGAGAAGGACAGCTCGAACACGCCCGCGTCCTTGGAGCCCGTGCTGATGGCGACGGACGAGATGGGCACGCGGTCGTGGCGGAACGCGGACCGGTCGGCGCCCGTGTACTCGGCGCCTGTGGTGGCGGTGGGCGAGACGCGGTACTTGTGGCTCTGCAGCGTAAGCGTGGCGTTGACGCCGTCGTGCGGGCCGGCGGCGGCGGCGGTCGGGATGGAGACGGCCACGGAGCGGAGGCGGCGCATGTAGTGGCCTGGGAAGTCTATGTCGAACAGGGCCTCGGTGAGGGAGAAGGTGGTGGTGCCCTTGTGGCGGAGGTCGACGAGGGCCAGGGGCGCGATCTGGCGGAGCGAGACCGCCTTTGTGATCTCTAGAGCGCCGGGGCCGTCCTCGCCCGAGAGCTGCTCGAGGCGCTTCAGGTCCAGCCACAGGTCCTCGGCGGCGAGGAGCCCGTCGCGCGTCGCGTCCCAGTACCCCGCACCCGACCGGAGGACCGACACGGAGCGGCCCTGCTCGAAGGACAGCGACTGCTCGGCCCGACGCGCGGCGCTGACGGCCAGGGTGTAGGCCTGGTGATAGAGGGTCCGAAGCCGAGTCTCCATCCAGCCGTAGAGCTGTTGGTTCGTGTACTTTGTGCGGAACCACGTCTCCATCTGCGCGGCGCCGTCCAGCTCGTCCTGCTGCATGGCGAGCTCCTTGGTGGCGGCCTGGACGCGCAGGCGCTGGATTTCGATCTGCTTGTCGGTGGCCTTGACCTCGCGGCCCAGCGTGTTGGCCTGCAGGCGGCGCTGCTGCAGCTGCTGGGTGAGGGCGCCCTTTCGCGCAGCCAGCTCGCCCTTCTCCTTGGTGACGTTGGCGGCGAACTGGATGACGGCGGCGCCGCCCTTGATGGCGTCGGCCCAGTCGGTGCCCTTGGTGGCCACCGAGGCGCCCACGCCCAGGGGCGAGACGTTGGTCTCGACCTTGGGGACGGCGCAGAGCGGCGCGACGAGGGATTTCAAGCCGCCGGCCACGAGGCCGAGCACGCCCGCCGCCAGCTTCATGTCCATCTCGGACTTTTCGTACGGCGACATGCGCAGGTCGTCGGTCGTCGGCGTGTCCACGTCCTGGTCGATGTCGACCCACTCGTCCTTGGCCGACGGCACCTTTTTCGTCGCGTCCTCCCCGATGAGCTTGAGGTGGAACTTGAGCTGCGCCACCTGCGACTTGCGCCCTTGCTCCAGCGACTTGAGCGTCTCCTCCGCCTCGGTGACGCCGAGCTGCTTCAGCTCGAGCACCGCCCGGGCGACCGACGTCGCGTCCCGCGCCTGCAGCGCCGTCAGGGCCTCGGCCTCCTTGCGCTCGATGGCCGACACGAGCCGGTCGCCAAACGACCGCAGCTCCGAGACGAGGTCCTGCGCGCGCTTAAGCAGCGCGTCGAACCGCTGGCGCGGCAGCGGCCCGACCGCCTCGGCCGCCAGGGCGTCGAGCGCGGCCGACATGCCCAGCCCGGCCTTGCTCATGGCCACGAGCGCGCCCGGGTCGATGGGCGGGTCGACGAGCGCGTAAGTGACGGGGCGGCCGTCGATGTCGAGCGAGTTGCGGATGTTGTACAGCCGCGTGCCGACCGTGTTGCGGAGGTCCCGGAACTTTGGGTTCAGCGGCACGCAAAAGTAGGCCGTCTTGAGGATCCCGAGCGACCCTCTGTCGGCGTCCGTCACGCCCGCGGGCTCCTTCATGGCCTCGGCGGCGCCGGCGCGCACCAGCTCGGCCGAGAAGGGCAGCCCGAGCTCGTTCTCGATCTCCTTCTCGGACAGCGTCGCGTACGTCTCGTACTTGAGCACCCTTGCCTTCTGCTTGGACACGAGCCGCGGCACCCTCAGCGGCGCCGGTCCCAGCACGTGCTGGGCCTCGATGTAGCGCTGCGTCGCGAGCGGGAGGCTCTCCATGGTCCCGCGCCGGAAGTGCGCGTCGCCCGACGCCAGCAGGATCTCGGCGTACTTCATGACGATCCACTTCATGTAGGCCTGCGGCTGGCCCCGCGCCGACGCGTGCACCAGCGCCCCGTGCGACTGCCGCTCCAGCAGCGCCATGCTGATGTCGGTCGGCATGGCCGAGTCCAGGTCCAGCGTCTCGTCCTTGCCGTCCTCGGCGATGCGGCGCGCGATGTCCTGGAAGGGAGGGAACCTCCAGCACGAGGTGAAGTTTTGCTTCTGCACGACCGTGACCGTTTCCTTCTTGGGCTTGGTTACTGCCTTGTCGTCGCCCGTCCCCTTGTCCTTTTCGGCCTCCTTCTTGGTCTCTGCTGCTACCGTCTGGTCGCCCGTCCCCTTGTCCTTCTCGGCGGCCTCCTTCTTGCCCTCTTTTACCTTTTGCTCGACCTCCACGGGGCGCCACACCTCAATGTCAACAGTAGGGTCAAAGACGAGACGGGCCACCTCGAGGGCCTCGTCGTACTGCTGCGTGGCGTACAGGCGCTCGACGGCCAGCAGCACCGAGTGCAGTCCAATCTCCCAGTCGTAGATGGACATGGGCTGCGCGAGCTCGTGGTGCCGCACCTGCTGCCTCTCGGTTCTCTGCAGCGCACTCGGCCCCCAGTCGTAGCGACCGAAGCTCTCCCAGGTGCCCTGGGGCTCTTTGCCGCCCAGGTACTCAAACACGCGCTTCAGGGGGTCCTCGCGCGGGGCGGCCTTTTGCATGAGCGCGGCCGAGAAGCCGTGGTCGACGAGCGTCATGGACGTCATCTTGTCAAGCACGCCGGGCTGCCACCGCGCGGCCCCCTTCACCTCCGACCTGGGCACCATGAAGTAGCTGGCGCTGGTGCCGTCGGGCCGCTGCGAGCTCAGCGCGAGGCCGAGCGGCGCCGTCGTGTCGCTGTACGACATGGCCCAGCTCACCGACTGGATCTGCCGCGCCGGGCCCGCCGACGCGACCACCTTGTCGAGCGCCGACGGGACGAAGAGGACGGGCCTCCCTCCCTTCTCGTTGTTCTTGCCGTACAGCTCGTCGAGCTCCTTGCGCACGCCCTCCCGCATGGACGCGATGGAGTCGTCTGCCCCCAGCTTCGCGGCCGTGACCTTTTGGAACGCGATGCTGAGCGGCCTGCGGCGGCGCTTCGTGCTGCCGTCTGCTGCCTTCTTGCTCTCGGAGGAGGAGTCGGCGGCTGCCTCGATGTAGAGCGGCCAGCGGCTCGGGACGTAGCCCAGGAGCGCGTCGGCGTCGGCGTCGGCGCGCATCTGGTCATCGGAGAAGAAGAAGATGCCGACCAGCTTCCCGCGCGAGGCCTCCACCGTGACGTCCTTGGACTTGTGGCTGACCAACAACGTCAGCTTCTTCTGGCCCGGGTTGTGGTTGAAGACGGGCTCGAACAGGAAGTCGGTCACGTCGGGGAGCCCGGGGCCCTCGACTGTGAGAGTGGTCGAGCACATGCGCTTGGCCGCCCAGGAGCCCCGGACGAACTCGGTCCAGCCCATGCTGAGCTCCCAGGTGCGCGTCGGCTGCGAGTCGGCGGCGTCGTATTCGCGCAGCGTCTCGAGCTTGGCCGACTTGAAGACGCTCATGCTCTTGTCGCTCGCCAGCGTCTTTGCCAGAAGCTGCGGCATAAAGACGTAGACGCGCGAGCCGTCGACGACGGGCACGAGGTACGTCCCCGTCGTGGTCACCCGCTTACCCTGCCACTCGGTCTCGGTCGAGGGTATGTCCATGTCCATCTTGACCCACGGCCGCCAGAAGCGCCCGTAGGGCTTGTAGTTGACGGTGAGGCTGCGGTAGTAGAAGGTGTAGGGGGAGGACCGCGTGCGCCCAAAGATGTGGAACGTGTCTGCGGCGGCGGTCCCGGCCTGGTTGTCGTGCACGTAGGCCACGATCTCGAGCGTCGAGATGTCGTTGAGGCTGCAGATGTAGGCCTTGATGGAGTCGGCAAACGTCTCCATGCTCAGCCCCTTTTGCATCAGGCTCGCCTCCAGCTCGTCGAAGAGCGGGCTCTTGTCGTCGCGCAGGCTCGCGTCCAGCCAGTTCTCCGGGTACAGGAACAGCTTGCGGTGCGCCTCCCAGATGTCGTGCTGCGACCGCCACTGCCAGTCCTCGCGCCGCAGCGCGCCCTTGGGCACGGCCTTCTCCTCGCCCATGAGGCACCGCTGCACGAAGAGCTGGATGATGCCGATGGCGAGCTTGATGCGCGACGTCTGCAGCTGCGGGCCCATCTGCACGTCGATGAGGAGGTGCTGGAAGAGCCCGTCGGCGTCCTCGATGCCGAACTTGTCCCTGACCACGTCGTGCTGCAGCAGGTACGCCAGCAGCGCCGACCGCCGGTTCTCCATCAGGCCCGCGTTCGCACTGGCGCGCTGCGCGGACGAGAGGCGCGACTGGAGGCTCGCGATGGCCTGCTCGTCCTGGCGCTGCGGGGTGAGCGCCGCGCTCGGCTGGGCGAGGCGGAACAGCGTCGACATTGAGATGCCAAAATCGCGGCCGGCCGCTCGCGAGAGCCGCGAGTCGAGGTCCATGATGTCTCGGATCTCCAGGATATCGTCCAGGCCCCGGATCGGGATCGGGGCATGACCTCCGCTGCCGGTCGTTGGGAACTTTTGCGTCATGGCTTCGAGAAGCCGGTCGCTCTCCCACCCGGTGCATAAACTGATCTTCTCGGTAATTTCCCCGGTGGCGACTGTTTTGGGGACTCTTGATAGCCACGCGAAAAGGTCGATGATACGGTTAGACTCCTCGGGCACGGGCTTCATCCTCCGCGCTACGGCCTCGCAGAGATCGCGATACTTCTTCAGCTTGACAAGATCGTTCATGGTGGGCTTGTTGAAGTCCAGAGAGAGGATACGGTTGCTGGTCGGGAGCCCTTTCTGCAGCGCCTCGATCTCGTCGGCGGACAGGCCCATCTCTGCGCAGACTTGGCCTACCCGGACGATGGCCTGCTGGATGCCGGCGACCTTTAGCGACTTGGCCGCGGGGGTGACGAACTCCATGGGGAGAGCCCGGGGAACCGGCGACTTGGGCGTCGTCCAGAGCAGCTCTCGGACAGCGAGGCTCCCGGTCAGGCGGTGGGGGTGTCCTGCGCTCAGCGAATACGAGGACCACGTCTTCTTTTCGCTGTCGAACGGCAGCTCGATGCCGTTGATCTCGAGCTTGGGCGTCGAATCCTTTGCTGCGGAGTCGGTACTACGGCTGAAGGTGTACGCGCCTGCGGCTGGAGGGACGAAAAAGACGTCCGTCTCTGCTCTCACGTCTTGGCCGTTGCCATCCGGACCCGGATCAGCCAGTGCTTGCAACATTGTGAGCGGCGTCTCCTGAGTGGCCCCTGAGCCGGCGGCGTTGACCTTGACGATTTTGGTCAGCAGCACCGAGACCATGCTGGCCTCGAGGTCTGGGATCAGCTCCTTGCAGGCTTTGACGATGACTTCTTCGAGGTATTCGTGGACAATGACCGGCCTGGCCATCTCGACAAAGGCCAAGCGGCTGCAGTCGATGGAGGCGTCATTGCCAAAGTTCTCCGGAGGCTCCTGGCCCTGGAGCAGGTATTTCAGCGCGGGCGACCGTGCGATCTGGTCTTCGGACGGGCTGAAGCGTCTCCGGATGGGCTCGCATGGCTGGGTGGATCGCTTGTGGAGTATCTCGACTGCTTCTTTCAGACTGGGGATCGTGGTGACTATGTCGTCAAGCGCCGCACGCTCAGCTGACAAGAGCCGACCAGTGAGCCGAAGCTGGGCCTGGAAAGAGCCGTCGGTTCCTTTGCCCCCCACAGTGATGGCCACCTTCTCTGGGAACGTCTTTGCCAGCTTGAGGACTTGTTGAAGGCCTTCCAGGTTCGCGAAGGACATGGCCTCGCTGCACTCCCGCCGCCCCTCGATGAACTCGACCACGTCCCGGCTCGTTTCCGCGTCGAAAACCTGCGCGATGCAGCTCGCGGCCTGCTCCGCGCTGACCTGCCCGTGAGCCTGGCGCTCGGCGTACAGCAGCGGGAGCGCCTTGCGCATCTCGAGCCCGCCCTTGGTGATGGCCGAGAGCAGGGCGAACCCCTGGCGGGGGCCGCTGGATGGTGCGTGCTCGTGGGGCTTTACTGCCTCTGGGCCCTCCAGCACTGCGACCAGTGACTGGACCGTCCAGCCAGAGTCCGCCAGGACCTTCCAGTCCCTCACGGCAGCAAGCATGGCGCTTGGGTGCTGCAGTGGATGATCCTTGCCGGGGCCGCGGTCGAGGAAGATGCAAAAGAAGGTCGCGGCGTCTTTGGGGTTGATGTCAAGCAGCGAGCACAGCAGTCGGTAGCGGTACAGCTTGGAGAAGGTCGGCACATCCAGAGCGCCTTCCTGTGCTTCACCCTTGATACCGGCAGCTGCTGCCAGGTCGTCAAACAGCTCAACGGGCCACTTGAGCGCCCGACAGAACTCGCTGGCCCCGGTGTGCACCGTGAACGGCTGCTTGCTGTTGGCGCCCTCGTTGCTGACCAGCGCCGGAAACAACGTGGAGACCATCGATCTGGAAAGCAGCCGGAAGACGGCCGAATTTTCCCGAAAGGCGTCCAGGTCGCCCCAGAGGGGCAGCAAGGTCGCTGGGTGCACTCCCAGCAGGCTCCCGAGCTTGACCAGGGCCGCGATGGACTTGACCACAAAGGGCGAGATGGAAAAGATGCCCCTGTCACCCTTCCAGCCGGGCGAGCTGTCCAGTTCGAGGCGGCGCAGCGAGTACACGGCCGCGTCGAGCTCCTTGGCGGTCCAGCCGAGCTTGGCCTTGAGGCGCAGGAAGGCCTGCAGCCGGAAGGCCACGTCCGGGCCGACGGCGGTGAAGGGCGGCGAGGACGCGCCCGAGAGCAGGCGCAGGTTCTCGAGCGTGCCGTCGAAGGTCTTGGACCCGTCCCGGCTGACGATGACGAGGTCCTGGCCGAAGCACTGCGTCTTGGTCAGGTCGAGGACGTCCTGGAACTCGATGCCGGCGCGGGGCATAAGCTGCCTTTTGATGAAGGAGAGGCCGAGCCCCTGCTCGCGGTCCTGCATGGCCTCGAGATCCTTGTATCCCCAGAGGGCCTCGACGGCCCAGGGACATCCTCTGGCGATACCAGGGGGCTTGGTGGCCAGGCCCGTGGCCAGGTCGGCGAACCAGCCTGGAAAGAAGGTCTCTCCAGTCACCGCTGTAAACTCTGACTGGTTCATGCGGAGCTGCTCGGCGGCCTGGTGCCTCTCGAGCACCTCGCCGACACCCCTCTGCAGCCCCCTCCTGGCCGTCTCGTCGGCGGGAGGCTTGGTGACGGCCAAGTCGAGGAGGACCTTGTGGGGGGCCGCAAACACCTCGCTCAGTTCGTCCATCTTGATCCCGAACGAGCCGAGGATCTGGACGGCCGTGTCGTGCCCCTGGTTGTAGGGGAAGTGGTTGAAGGGGAACATCTGCTGGGAGATGATCTTGCTGTACAGCTCGACGTCGGTGTTGCCGGGCTCGTGGACGGGCGCGTGCGTCCCGTCGGCGGCGAGCTCTACGGCCTCGGCGTCCTCCCGGGACGTGTTGTGCGCGGCGATGCGAATGGGCGGCGCCACCCCCGTGGGCACCTTGTCGAAGGCGCCCGGAACGCTGACGTACCGCACAAAGGACTCGAGCGTCTCCGTCACGAGGCTGATGTAGGGGATCAGCGTCATGGCGTTGGCGCAGCTGAGCTCGAGCTCCCGCAGGTCCGGCCTGCGCTCCGTCAGGAGGTCCAGGAGCGACTTTGCCGAGCCCGGGACGCTCTTGCCCTCGAGGAAGGACATGAGGTCGGCAAAGTAGGCCGACAGGCTCGTGACGGAGCAGCACGCCTCGCAGGAGGCGTCCTCGAGGCGGAATATGTCGGTCAGATTCATCATGGCGCGCGAGCTCTTGGCCGGAACTCCAGAGTTTTCGCCTGCTTTTCGGGGCTCGATCGGGACGCCATCCTTCCTCTGCGCGTTCATGAGATTCAGCCAGAGCTGCTCGTTCCAGCAGTCGATCCTGCGGGCGGTTGTGTGGATGGCTGCGGCGTTCTGCCGCAGGGACCCGGCCCCGACCATCTTTTTCACGAAGTCGCCTTGGAGAAATTCGCTCGCCACGCGCCGGGCGCTGCGGTACTTGGACACCCAGAGTCGCAGCACATCCTCGGGCTCCTGGACAAGAGGTACGAGACACGTGATGCAGCGGACGAACTCCAGCAGCTCCCGGAACTCCTTCTCGCTCGGCTGCGCAATCGCCTTGCCCTTCTTGCCTGCTTCCGCGGCCTCTTTATTGTCCTTGTCGATCTTGGCTTTGAGGCCCGCGAGGATCTCGCCCTCCACGGCCGTCCCTCCCGCGATGTTGAGGCTAGCGTCTCGGCTCAGCACCTGCAGCAGGCGCGCGGCGAGGCCGGCCGTCCTGGCGGGGACCCGCTCGTACTTTGGTAGCTTTATGACGGGCCACTTTTGCTCGCGCAGGAGGAGGCTCATGACCAGCATCGGCTCGGCGGCCCAGGTGCGCCGGCGCAGGGCCTCCACGCCGGCCTTGGTCACGCCAGGGGAAATGGGGGCATCGGGCTCTGGGAAGTACGAGTCCAGCTTCTCCCGAGGAAAGACGAGCGAGACGAGCGAGTCTCTGGACATGGTCTTCCCCATCTTGGTGATGGCCCATGACGGCACCTGTAACCGTTCCTCGCTCTTGTCGACGAGGACTTGGACAAGGCGAAGTGTGGTAACGTCTTGTGTCGGGACATTGCCACGGCTGAGGACGGCGTCAATGAGCTCGGAAATGTCGGACGGATTGGGGCTGGGGCCATCTGTCTGGCCATCTGTCTGGCCATCTGTCTGGCCATCTGTCTCGTCATCTGTCTGGTCGTCTGTCTGGTCGTCTGTCTGGTCGTCTGTCTCATCGTCTTTGGTACCGTCCGTCTTGTCGGGTACCTTCCCGGCCTTCTGCAGAGCCGCCTGGAGTCTCCCGTGGATCTCGGGGCTCAGGCAGTCTTTCAACGAGCCGATGAATCCTTTCAGAACAGACATGGTAAAAACTCGTGACTCCCAGACGGTCAGGGGCTTTGCGTAGTGGAAAAGATGTTTTCAAAAAGTATGAGGAGATGAAGGGAGGCAGCAAGAATGGAGGTGGTTCCCTTCCGAGAGATCCTGGATATGTGCGAGCCCTCGAGTTAAGTGTCCGGTGCTTCTTTGCTTTCGGGCGCCCCTTCCGTGCCTGCTGGTCTTTCCCCCGCTGACGATCTACAACGACCAAGCTTCATCTCCCTCCTCCAGGCGACCAGCCCCGCGAAGATGTTATCCGAGTCTACCGCCGCAAAAAGAAAAAAAAGAAGAAAAAACATCTCGCCGACTTGGCTTCCGCACGGATTCCCGCTTATGGATCTGTCTTCGCAGATCACCGGAGCGAGATGCATCATGCAAGACGATTCTTCCTCCACCTGACCCAGCCACGGTCAGTGGCGCCGACACGATACTCTTTCGGGCTCATGGACCGTCATACTCACGTACCTCACTTGGACGGCAGTGCTCAGTACCTATTCATAGGTATCCTAACCGCTTCAAGCGACGGTCCAATATGACTGTGTGCTGCGCGATATCACAGCTGCCATCATCACGGGATCGTGGCAAGCCCAGAGAGGCCTGGTGCTTCCCCTCTTTCATGCGTGCGTCGGCGGTGGCCCTCAGCCGGCTTCTACCATCGCTCGGCTTACCCTTTGAGTATGTGCCAGGCTCTGGGCGCTACGATATTCTTTCTTTTTTGTGCACGAGGGCTCCCAAGATGCATCTCGGTATCTAGACTCTTGTCAAAAAAGCAAGTTGAAAGTACGCCATGCAGCTAGCGCGTGCGTCAGCCGTGACCGACGACTGGGGCCCGACGGGCCGTGTATCTCGCCGGCGCATTAGTATAGTATATCCCCACAGCAATAGCGTGCCACAAGGGGGATTAGCGTGCGCGATCTGCATGTCAGTCTGTGACAAGCCCACTTGGCGGCATTCACATATCAGTGCGAGCACTCGGGTTGGCCCGGTCTTGGAGAGATCGCCCCGACGTTCTCGGCCTACCAATGAAGCCAAAGACTAGGGAGAGGATGGGGAAACGCCGTGCCCGCGAAATACGCTCTAGACGACATCGTGAATTACCGAAGCCCATAGGCCGGAGCGCCTCGCCAGTCTGGTCCTCCGAGGCGCCATCGTCCACCTGACTGCCCATCACTAGTCCGCTAGCTGAGCAAAACCCCAGCTCCTTCCTTCTGTACTTCTTTCCAGGCGTGATCCTGCTGAGAGGTTAGGTATCTCCAAGTTTCTGATACAGCGCGGTACGCCAATCTGTGCCTTCAAGGTACTCCCTCTTGATCCGTGTTGCATCTTTGAGGGCAGCCAGGAGCACGCTCGATGGGTCCTTTGCTACATTGCAGGTTGGGTTGTCAACGTCACTCGAGACCCTTGGTTAATATAAGCTCGCAAATCCTTCCTCTCTCAATCTGTCACTTCCGTCCTACCTCAACTACCTACTCTCTAGTGAATTTCTCAGAGACAAGCAATTACGTCTGCCCCTCATGCCGAGCCATGGCACCTCCCGCAACAATGTCTCGCTCAACACCGGGCCAGATGAGGACGACCACTACGACCAGCTCGCCGCCTTCTCGGTTCAAACCATCAATGACAACTTTGACGCCCTCTGGAGGCTGCGCCCCAAGACCCCGGACGACGACGTGTCCAAGCTGACCTTCAGCGATGGCGAAAACGGCGTGATGAACGCCCACCTCAAGGCACCCCGCGTCATGATCGACCCTAACCAGGAGCAGGCGGCCAACCCGGTCATCTACTTCTCCGTGCGCTTCGACAAGGACAGCTCGATCCAGTACAGCCTCAAGCAGAAGGTGGACATCTCCGGTTGGGTCCTTACCGTGACGGCCTCCATGGAGGAGCTGTGCGTCACGCCCGTGGAGGGCGACGACGAAGACACCATCATAGACAAGAAGATGCACACGGACCGCATGAAGCGCATCTTCAAGCTCAAGGGGAAGGGTCCCAACGGCACAGACGTGACTTACGAGCTTGATGCCCCTGTCAAGCTCAAGCCGGGGGAGTATGCCATCAATCGTCTGTTCGCTGCCATCTCGGGTGAGTGGCTACTCCCGGTGCACCTCCTGCCTCTCTAACTTTGACCATATGGCCGGGCTTTGCGCTGACGAACACCCCTCAGAGAGCTCATGGAAGGACATCATCTGGAAGTACAGCACCTGCCCCGACCCTGAGAATCCCGACGGTGACCCCATCCCGCTCAAGGACTGGCTGGATGCCGACGGGGCCAACCATACCCTGATGCGGAAGGTCAAGGAGACCCTCAAATCCTGGGCAGAAATGAATCAGACCAGCGCCTTCTTCACCCTCGGTCTCAAGTTCAAGGAGCCTGAGCCCGACCAGACCAAGACGTCGAGGTCGCAGTCGGAGATTACTTGTACGTCGATTGCTCCCCCAAACGGCAGCCAAGACCCCCCCTCAAACTTACCTGGCAACTTTTCATTCCAGTGCCCTACGCCGTGCGCCTCCTGAGCTACCCTTACATCGACCCCCAGAGCTACGACGTCCAGATGAAAGTCAAGGGCGCCAGTCCCCGGGGCGACATCTGGGGCGACTACAACTGCCTGGTGCACGCCGAGACGACGGGCACGCGCCCGCTCCCCAAGCGCAAGCTGCTCTCCTACTGCGGGAACCTGGGCTCGCCCGTCGACTCGGTCAACCGCAAGGAGGTCCGCGGCACCTTTGTGCTCGACCACCGGACCTTTTTGCGGAGGCAGCTGCTCCTCCTGCTGCAGGAGATGTGCGTCGGCGCCCTGGTGGTGCCGCTAAGGCCCGACCTCTACCCGGAAGGCCGCTGCCAGCCGCGCTTCTGCGTTGGCGCCCCGGCCCCCTCGTTCGACATCAACCCGGGCACCATCTCGGGCCAGAAGCCCGCCCAGCTACCCAACGACAGCTACTACGAGTTCAAGCCGGCGGGCCCGCGCACCTTCAAGTGGGAGGACAACTTTGTCGCCCCGGGGAGCGGCACCGAGACCTACACGCACACCAAATACAAGGACGGGACCATATATCGCCACTGGAAAACGGACAGCAAGCAGAGCGTCACCATCACCTGGGAGCCGGCGGGGCACGTCTTCAACGTCAAGGGCACCATGAGGACCTACCACTGGCAAGGATATTCAACACACAAGGACTTCCCGTTTGAGAGAATGCACCCGATTAAGGGCTACTGGGGCGAGTATGTCCAGAACCTCGACTCTGCAAGATCCCCTTTCCTGTGCTTCGGCCGCAAAGCCAGCCCGCTGACCTTGACATTTCTCTACGCAGCTTCGAGATCGGCGCCGACTGGTCGTTCAAGGTTGATCTCAAGGTGCCGCAGGAGATTGATTCGGCCACGGGCCAGCCTCGTCTCGACTACGGAGTGATCGAGCCGACGGTCGAGGGGATAGGCAGCGATGGGCTCCCGAGGGACGCAAACATCAGGCTGATAAGACAGAACTACGACATCGGCAAAACCTGGGACGAGCCCCTCAAATACATCAACAAGGCGCTCAAGGAGCGCCTGGCTCAGCTCACCAAGAGCCTGCTAGCCAAGTTCCGGAACTCGGGCCGCTTCGTCTACCCAGCTCTCGGCGTGCTCAAGTACGAGGACCCCATGATTGCCGACAACGGAGACGTCTATTGCAACGTCGATTACCTCCCGTGAGTGCACCCCATTCTTCGTAGCCCTATAAGGGGGATTCTTGTCCAAGACTTGCTGACGGGTGCGCCTCACGCAATTTCCATAGGCCCAAGGACGACGGCCTCGTGACCATCCGGAAGCCGGACCAGATGCCCTTCACCGACCCGCTATTCAAGCAGGCCGACCTCGTCAACATCCCCTCGGACGAGACCGTCAGGCCGGGTATGATTCACCTCCAGTGGAGTTTTGGGGACCAGAAGTTCGATGCCGAGACCAACCGGCTGGCGTTCAAGATGACGGCCTCCAACCCATCGGAAGAGCCCATCGCGTTCCGCTTCGTCGAGGTCTCCATCCTCGTGGTCAAGCCCAAGCCCGACTCTCTCGTCGTCCGCATGTTCGAGGAAGATACGGACGAGTGGAAGGAATGGACCCCACCCAAGCCCAAGCCCGCGCCGAAGCCCGACGTCAAGCCCGACGTCAAGCCGGACAACAAGCCGGACAACAAGCCAGATGAAAAGTCGGATGCCAAGAAGGACGACAAGACCGCCGCCTCCACGTCCGACCCCGCCATCCCAGCGACCTCTGCATCCCCAGGCGAGGCAGGTCAGGCCGGCACGGGCCCGGCCGCTGAAGAAGTCCCGGCCGAGAAAGAAGAAGAAGAAGCCCCGGTCGAGGAGGAGCAGGAGGAGGAGGCCCCCGCCGCCACCTGGCGCCTCACCACCTCCAAGGTCGAAAATGGCATAAAGACGACCGTCCTGAGGCCCGACAGCCTCAAGTTCAAGCTCGCCCCCACCAAGATGCCCCAGAGGCCGCGCGTCGGGCGCTTCATCCTGCAGGAGGCCTCGGGCTTCACACTCGAGCTGCAGGGCACGGCCCCCGGGCCGGGCACCTACGTGATGCAGATGGGGGAGACGTGGGCGCCGGCCAACAAGCACGACAACAACCCCGAGACCAAGGGCGCCGACGCCTTTTACAAGGTGGTGCTCGAGGCCGGCAAGAGCCCCGTGTTCGAGTCCGTGACCGCCGCGGACGCAGAGAAGCTGCAGGGGGTGGTGAATAAGTAGCGCGTGCGGCAAATGGACCGGCGGGGGTCTGGACATGGTTCTCTTGTTTACATGTGCTGTGTCAAGAAGGGGATTTGGGCGTGTTCCAAGTATGTCTAAAATGAAGACATTTACATGTACCTCGACATGAATAAACATTCATTTTCTAGTGGGCGCTAATACATGTTACCCGCGCCTCAATCCTAAGGAACAAATTCGGGTAACCCAAGTAAGGCCTGTACAGCTTTAAGCTATACAAAACTAAACATACCAGGTCCTAGTGATCGGAATTGCTAGTGCGATGGGACAGCCCCTATCACAAACACGAACAAAAGCGAGAAAAGGAAAATAACAAAAATAGGGATAGGTAAATATACACCAGTTCGAGGCCAATTCTTATGCGTGATGATGCTATTTGGTATAAATCTAAAAACTTGCGGGGGAAACAAACCCCAGCCCCATCAACCTTCAGCCATGGCGCGACTCGTTGTCGAAATCCTTCATCCGTAGGATGGCGGCCTCGACCGAATCCAGCTCTCTGTTCCACCGGGCAGTTAGTGTCTAATAGTCGACAACAATCGGGTTGCGAGGTACACCTACAGGGCTCTCTTCTGCGGCACGGCTGGCGATACTGCCCTTGAAGCGTGGCAGATGGGCGGTGTCGGCGCCCACATTCTCTTGTCGTGCCCCCATAGCGAATCCGTCTGCCACGAGCTCTCCTCGGCAGGGCCTGGGACGGTTCGCGGGGTCGCCGCCCTCGAGGCCGCCTCGGAAAATCGAGAGGCCGCGCCAAGGTCCGACCTGGGGAAGAGGCTGTCACCAGGGTCGCAGATGCGCTCGAGCGCTTGCGATATAGAGGCCGGCGGAAGGCGCGACTGCGAAGGAGAAGGGTCTGATTCAGATTCGGACTCTTCGAGCGTGTCCTGGGTCGGCGTGGCAGCCCCGCTCGATTCCTCCTCGGTGCTGCGGCCGGCAGGTACGTAGCAGGCCCCGTTGTCCAGATGCGACGGGCGTATCGTTGTCGCCTCGGTGTCGTCTTCATCACCAGTGCCCTGTCTCACTTCCGTCCGGGTAACCTGACCAGCCGGCCGCAACAGCAGTGAGGCGTCGTGGCCTGTCGACCTTGGCCCGGAAGGCCGGCGAGCTCCGGTCGAACGGCTCCACGACGATGGAAATTCCAGCCCCGGCATGACCTTGATGGTGGGGTGGTCCCTGTCCCGGAGGAAACTGTCACCACCGACGATCCATTCCACCCCGGTCCGCGGCCGTTCGTCGGGTTGGCCGTACAAAACGGCCGTTCCCCCCTGCGATCCGAGGTCCTTCACGATGAGGCGGTAGTCGTCGTTGAAGGTTATGGCAAAGTGGTGAAAGCTGATGCCCTTGTGGCGCAGAAGCACAATGTCTGCGTCCTCGGCCCAGCCGACAATCATGCCGCGCTGGTCCTTGGGCACGTCGTCGAGGCGTATCTCAAGGCATTACATGTATTGCAGAGCGTCATAGCCTCGAGCATATGGCATCTCATCCTGCTCCCACTCGTGCCGCGAGGCCGAGGGCGGTTGGGGGGCCGGGGATTCTTGGCGACGCGGTGGACGATGCTTCCCCTTGTTAGGCGTTTCGTTGATAATGGCTATTGCTTTGATATTTCCGTTTGCCGGGGTACAAATACGCCACGGAACCGAGACCTGCCATGGCGTTGCGAGCCGAGTGTAAGTGAGAGAAATCAAGCAGGCGAGTGTGATACTAGCAGTAGTAGCGAGATGAAAGAGGACGATAGAAAGAGGACGATAGAAAGGGGACTTTGGCATCGAAGGAGCAGTTCGTTGGAGGTTTTTTTCGGCTTTTGATGAATGTTGTAGGTTAGCGCCCGGTGCCTAAATCTAGACCATTGCCAACTTCCCACTGCCCGACCATCGAGGCGACCACTTACAGCCTCGCATGGCCCTCGAAACGGCCACGCATAGCCCCAAACAGCACGCCCTAATACCCCTGATTAGATTGATGTATTGTCCCTGTCAACCTGCAAAGTACATGTCCATTTTTTTTTTGGCGATACGCATGTTTTTCTAGCTCTGTTTCCTTTTCTTTTCCTCTCCTTTTTTTTCGCTTCCTTTTCCTTCCATTTTTTTTTTTTTCATTTACTTTCTCCATCTGATCATTTGGACTCTGTTCCGTTGAGGGAGCCGCCGACGAGTCCATCATCTCCAACCCATTTGTGTGGCGGCTGTTCGTTGGTCCTTGGCTCAGGCGCGCTTCACACACTCGCCGCAATACTCCTGGTCGGGAATGCGGCCAACCAGACGTGCTGTCCCAGGTTCATTTGGTGACAGCAACCGCTGCGCCTCGCAGCAAATCGGCTGCCTCTGCAAAATTGTTGGCACAAACGTCCTGGTCGCTTAGATAGCTTGCAATGGCGGCCTTGCCAACATGGTGGGAGCCGGTGCATGGAAATGCGATTCTTTCTTGGTGGCTGACTGGCCCTCAGCGCGGGCTGTTGGTGCAAGATCGAGGCGCGTGCAACATGCAACATTCACTAGCGCCATCTGGTCTGTCCTGGTGGGCGGGCTGCGACACAGGTCCCATGCAGCCCGCCCATTTCACATTCTGAGGCGGCTAGCAAGCAGGCTGGGGTTGTTGGTTCGCACCTCAATTCCTTCCTCAATCATGGACTCATAAACAATCGAGCCTGGAACTTAGGGCGCGTTCGTCTTCAAAGCCGCCGCAACAGCCCCCGTCCGCGCGACGACGAACCGCTACAATGACAGCCGAGAACACAGTTGCGCATCTGCTGGCCTTGGACGACGCTGCGCTTGTCGAGTGGATGAAGAACCACTGGGATGAGCAGCGGGCGCTCAATGTCACAGATATTGTCGACTAGGAGAAGGCCCCAGAACCCGAGCAGACAAAGCTCGTCGAGAGGTTCATGTAAGGGGCAATCCAATGAACTCATGTGGCGCCACATCCAGCTAACACCAGCCGCAGGCACCTCGCTCCACAGGCCAGGGAGCCCCAGCCTCTTGACTTTGGGCAGCTCACGGCGAAGCTCAACGCCCTGAGTCACCCAGAGGCGGCAACGCCCTCGCCGGAACGCGTGCCACCGTGGGGTCCGGGGGAGCGGCCACGGACAATCTCGCCCGGGGAGACCCCAGCCAAGGACCATCAGATCTATTGCTACAACCGGCTCGTTGCCGAGGGCGGCCGGCCGCCCTTCCCGCTCGAAATATTGGACGAGGTGGACGAAAGGCCCAGAGACTTTATCGAAACGGTGAGACCGTGGGCGGGGGACAACTTCATCGCAATTTGGTCTATGCATGATCTGGCCGTGTTTGAGCGCCCTATGCAGCGCTGGAGGGAGTTCCGGAGGTGGCAGCGCGACAACCGCAACATTCAGGTGACGGACGAAGAGGACATGGCGGATTACGTCGCCGAGATGCGGCACGAGGAGGAGACCGAGGGGTTGCTTCCGGACTAGGCAATGAAGGAACGTGACGAAGGTTGGGAGAGGGTATGGAAAGACAAGCAGCTCGCCCGCCGCCAGGAGCGGGAGACCCACAGAGAGGTCCCCGGCGGCACCTTCGAAGAGTACCTCGAGGCCGCCCGCCGCCGCCTGCGCGAGAACGGCTTAGACGAGGACCTGCAGCTGCTCGAGGACGCCAAGCAGCAAAGCGAGCGGGTGACGTGGATGGAGTACCTCGTGTTCGAGTACTGGTGGCTTGAAAGGCGGACTCTGTGGGTCGACTACTGGGAGAAAAGGTGCCCCTTTATATGGGAGAAGATTACCAGCCTGGGGCTTCTGAAGGATGGCGAGACGCGAGAAGACGTGCTGAGATTGTCGAGGAAAGACATGGACGAGCCTGGCTCTCCCCAGACCACCAAGCGCAGAAATGGCATCAGCCGTTTCCTCCATGCTGTGGACGAAGGTCGCGGCGCCGATGTATGGAAATCCAGCCAGCAACGCCCCGTGGAGTGGGCTTTGAGCCAACTGCCAGAGATAGAGGCCGAGGCGGCTCTCAAGAAGAAGACCAGGGGTGGTGCCAAAAGGCGAGGCCGCCAGCCGGTGGCGAAGAAGCGGAAGCGCGGCGAGGACGAGGGCGAGGGCGCCAGGAGGCGGGAGCCGCGCCCGCGGCCACGGAAAAAGCGGATGGTCGCGGAACTCGAGTCGTCGACTCCCCCGCAAAACACGCGGGCGTCCAACAGGGACGGACTCGGGCGCAGCGCTCGGATCAAGGGGCTCGGGAAGGGGACACAAGGCAGGGGCAGGTTACGATAGAGTACTGCTCATTGCTATTTCAGATACCAAAAGGGACAAGCGATTTCATTCCATCGTGCCACACACGGAGTCTTCCCTCCAGTGATGAGCTTCACAGATGCCCATGTTTCTCGGCAACGTTGCACGACACACTCGCACGATAGAGAACCGAGGTCAAGGGTCGAGGGCTCACGGCCGCCCTTGTGCCCGGTAGAGAGAGCGCCTCGCCCACGTCGCGCATGCATCTATCTCGGCGGATACCCAGAGCTGCCACCTAGTGACAGCACAACGCGCGCGCGTGCCTCCAACGCTCGGTACCAGACAACATGGCTCGAGTTTATACCTCGTACGTACATATCCCCCGATGCGCGTTGTGGGCGTTATCACTCCCACGTTATAGGCAGGGAAGCCCAGTCCCCCCCTCCAGCGGAGTCCTTGCCTGGGGGGCGGCGGCGGCTAGTTGGCTCCTAACATCGGGAAGGCAGCTGCAGAAGCTTGCAGGAAAGAAAAAAAGAGGACCGCAACGGACGCGGGCCACAGAACGGGCCCCCCCCCCCCCCCCCCTCCCCCATTGAGCAGGCAGGTTAGGTCCTCAACTCGGGCGGCCGTGATGGAGGGGACGGGCTGCTGGTGGTGGTGGTGGTGGTGGTACACTTTAGCGTTGCAACAATACGTGTGTTGCGTTGTGTGCGTGCCTATACCCCTCTTCTAGAAGCTCTTGGCTCCACCGGCCTGCCTTCGATGCAGAGGGGGAGGGTGCTTAACTAGCCCCGGGCGGCTAGCTTGATAAGGTCATGTTGCGTTGCGCTGGCTCTCCTACAGTAGGGCAGGGCGGGTTGCAGCGCGCCACCCAGTTTGGCAGGCCAGTTTCGGTTTATTAGGGGTGGGCAGACTTGCGTCGGCGTATTGGAGCTTAGCTAGGAAGCTGGAAAGGAATACATCTAGGTCACTTGCAAGCAAAAAAAAAAAAGTAGCGCTGGAGGTTTGCCCGATGGAAAGCGACGCAAGCCTAGCTTCGTCCATTTTGTACGAATTCTCTGACCGAGTGGCACGCACACATGCACACGTTACCGCGCCGCACACCATCTTTGCCAGTCCCGCGCGGGGCCAGGGGTGGGAAAGAATTGGGAAGGTGAAGTGGTGACGATGACGATGACGGAACGGGCAAGTACATAGGGGAGGAGAATGCGACTAGGTCCCAGATAACCCACGCCAAGGAGCGACCAGGGACTGATCGGCCTCCTCCTCCTCCTCCTCATCCATATGCGAGAAAGAACAAGGTAGGCAAAGTTGACAGCTGTTTTTGACAGGGCCCCGCCAGCAAGGAGGCAAGGTGTGCGCGCGCGGACAGGTACAGACAGATACCGACTCCCCTCCCCCTCGCCAAGCCGGAAACAATGGCATCTATCTCTGTCTCTTTTTCACAAGCCAGGGAGGGGGGTGTGTTCGTGTGTGTGTGTGTGTGTGTGTGTGTGGCCTCGCAGCAACCTCCTCGACAAACCTTGCCCAGCCCCGTCCGTCTAGTCTCCACGCAAAGGGCTCGCAAGCGGGCGGGCGCCACCGCAAGCAAAGCAACCTGAGCAAGAGAGAGAGAGAGTGAGTGAGAGAGAGAAGGCCGTCAGAGATAGCAGCCTTGGCGTTGTGGACCGTTGCGGTGGAGCAGTTTTGGTGGTGGGGGAGGGGGAGGTTCGCCGTTCGCCTACCAAAGTAAAGCCCCCTACCCCGTCCGTCCCTGCATGTGCTTCCTTTCGTTTCCCCGTCTTTGATACATAGCACAAGTCCCTCTGCCGCTCTTCCTCCCCCTCCCCATCCATGCTGTTAGCCCGCTTTCCCGCCCGGTCGGCCCGGCGAATTTTTCTGTCGTCGTCGTTCGAAGCGTGTGTGCCCGGAACGATGTTTTGTGTGCTCCATTAAAAAATTAAAAAATTAAAAAAAGAGGATGGGAAAACATCACTGATTGATGGATGAATTGCCCCCCTCCTTAACCCCTGGCGGGCTTGCTACAGTACCACCCACAATGGTATCACTACGTGGGGGTAAGTCGTTATCCTTTACAATTCAATCGAAATAAGAGGACAAAAAACGTGGTCAATCAGAATGCCCTAGGCGCTTCACTCTTTCATCCGTTCGCCACATGCGCGCCACTTTCGCTACTCTAATCTAACTCCCTGTCTTGCCTCGTACCCGGACGGACCCCTTTCCGACCCGACGTCTATGAGCAGCAGCAGCGCAGTCAGGTTGCTCCAAAGTGATATCGTCGTGCTCACGTTCTGCAAGAAACAGACCACAGTTGATGAAATGGAGATGAATGCTATTGCCCTTTGCCAACCGATATCTATGGGTGTTTGTTTCGTCGTCCCCAACCCCCAGACCGTTACATGACCAAAATACACGCCCCTTTCCTAGTTTCACCCCTTTAGGTATCATATTCCCCGGTCCCTTTCCCCATTACCCCGTGACTCCTCTGAAGACAAACATGACGATGATATGTGTATCCATACATTATACATTGATGAACGTAAAGGGCTCGAGAAAGAAATAAATGCAAAGATCATCGACAGCAATAACAACATGACCCTGAGTATCGTATCCTCGTTCGTGTATCACGACACCGACTGTGCCGGGGGGAAAAATGGTGGTGGCAAACATTAAAAACAAAAGACGAGGGTTGAGGTATCACAAGAAAAAAAAACAGGTTGAGTAGCAACGCTTTAAAAACGCTCTGCTCGCTAGGAAAAAAGAAAAACAAGAGGATGGGAGGGCATCAGAACATGATCCACTCCACCTCGAACCCCTGGCCACCAATGCACCTTGCCCAGTTGAAGGGGCCATTGTTCATCATACCAGGGAGCCTCTGCTGGTTGTGCTGGTAGTGGTGCTGGTGGTGCGGGTGGCTGGGCGGGCCCATGTCGATGCCGCCAAGGTGGGAGCTGTGCTGCTCCTCCTTGACGGTGATTGCGCCAACCGCATCCTCGCCGGCCCAGAGGCGCTCGAGCACGTCGAGGGCAGCCAGGTTGTTCATGTATCCGGACCGCGCCATGATGTCGCGGCACTTGTTGCGCACAATGTTCTGCTGCAGCTCGTTGACACACTCGCTGCCCGCCACGAAGAGCGGCCAGAGCAGGAACTTCTCGGCTGAAGACCCGGCCTCGAGGCTGGTGGCGTAGTAGACCACCTGCGACACCAGGTTGCGGAACTGCTCGTGCGACGAGGGCACTTCAGGCCCGGCCAGCCGCTCCGTATAGAGCAGCGCCGCGTACCGGAAGGCCTCGGACAACGAACAGAGGTCCCGCATCTGCGCCGGGGTCGGAGTAGGCACCATAGATGACGCGAGGCGCTGTCCGTCAAAAGACCAAGTCTGGAGCGCGTTGCGCGCCTCCCTCCACTCACGCCAGAAGGCGGTGCGGAGTTCGTCGTACGCCGGCGACGAGCTGAGTGCTGCAGACATGAGCTCGTCGTCGTTGAGCGTGGTACCGAACCCGTTACCATCGAACCGGTGGTGGTTGCCGCCAGTGGGAACGCCAAACATGTCGATCCCCATGCGCTGCTGTTGTTGTTGTTGCTGTTGCTGTTGTTGCTGTTGTTGCTGTTGCTGTTGCTGTTGCTGTTGCTGCTGGCTGGGCTTGTACATGTGCCCGAGAGGCGAGGCAAGCGGGGACTGCGAGCGCGACGGGACGTGTCGCTGCAGGGGAGACCCCGCGCCCATGTTCTGCACCGGCCGGTGCTGCGACAGCAAGTTCAGGCGCCCGAGTCTGACGATGATGCGGAACAGCTCGCGGTCGCAGCCGACGAGGTTCTCGGTTCCGGGCGGCAGCAGCGGCGTGCTATCCAGGGGTACGCCGCTGTACAGAGGCGCGCCGAGCTGGGCCTCGCGGTCGTTGATGCTCGCCGAGATGGCGTCGAAGTAGGTGAACAGAGACTCCATCCAGGCCGAGTCGGGCGAGGGTGGGTAGGAGGATGCGCGGCGCATGGTGAGGATCTTCTTGACGCCGGCGAACTGTGTATGGAAGCGGGCAATGCCGGACTCGGCCATGCGGTAGTGGCACAGGATCAGGATGGTGGCCAGCACCGAGTCGTGCTTGGACTTGGTCGCGTCGTTGAGCTGCTCGTTGAGCAGGTGCACCGCGAGGTTGCGGTGCTGGTACTCCTCATGCAGAGATTGGTCATCGGCCGACCCGTCGGGAGAACCGGGCCTCTTGTCGGCCATGTCGCGCGGCGAGTGTTGGCCCAGGCTGAGCCTGCGCTTCATGCGCAGGTTGCAGGCGGCCAGCGCGCAGATGGCGTGCTGCAGGCTGCGGCTACCCGCGGCGAGCTGCAGAATGTGCTCGCGGAAGGGGTTGTTGGGGCCGTCGATGAAAACCATGGAAGGGCACATGGTGTTCTCGTAGTAGTCGAGGAAGAAGGGCATCCTGGCGATCAGGTCGGGGGTGACGTGCACCATGGGCGTCTCGACAGCCGACGGCCAGGCGGCCAGCGAGTGTGTGGGCTCGGGCACGCCTTGGGACGAGGCCGAGTCCTCGTCGGCGGGGGACGGCCCCCAGAAGTGACCGTTGGAGTTGGCGCTGGAGCCGTAGGCATCCAGTTCAGGGGTCCCTGTTGCCAAGTCGTGGTTTCGGCCGGTCAGCTCCAAATCCAAGCCTCTTGCCCAGCCCGGCTCAGCAGCCCACAAGGTGTCGACATACCTATTGAGTCGCAGTCGAGGAGCAGCTTGCTGCTGAGCTGCGCCTCGAAGTCCGGGTGGGAGTGCAGGCTCGAGCTCTGTTCCGAGGGCGCGTACACGAGGCCGGGGCATGACGTGGGCGCGTTGCGCTGCTCCATGATCATGGCCGCCAGAGGGCTCGGAGGCACGGCGGGCGAGTTGTGTCCCGTGTAACTGTCGTACAGGACCGCGGGGCTGTGCAGAAAGGGGATCTCGTCCCTGGGGAACGAGTGGCTCATGGGAGACAGGTGGTACTCCATATCGCTGATGGACTCGATAGACGACGAGAGCTGGTGGTCGGCGTGGCCCATGCCGTGTGAGAGCTTTCCATAGCGCATGTTGTCCGACGGCAGGCCGGCTGAGAAGGGCATGTGGTCCCAGTGGGAGGCGTGGTGTGGGAGAGTCGGGGTGGCATCGACCGCCCTGGGGATTCGGCATGGGTCAAATGCACCGTGGAACGGGGTGCTCGGGGACGAGACGCCGTGGTGGCGGTCGAAGTCGCGTACGGTCGTGTGTATCTGGAGATGGGCGGGCCTGCGCTTCGCGGCGCCCTCATCCCGCTCCGGCCACTGACCCGCAGTGCCGATGTTTGTTGAGCCGGCCCTAGTGCGCGTGGGCGAGCCCTTCTTGCAGATGGCGGTGCTGACCGGCGGCGCCTTCGCCACGGGCAGAGAGAGGCCCCTGAGCTTTCCCCTGCTGGCCACACCGACCCCCCATGTGAGCTGCGTCTTGTACCCGGAGCACTCGTTCCCAACCTCGAGGCACGGTGAGCAGTACGGTCTCCTCCTGTCACACTTGACGTTCCTCTTGGAGCACGTAAAGCAGTCGTCAGCGGCCCCGCCAGCGGGTGCGCGTCTCCTACGTTTCCGAGCAGCGGCCGTGTCCGCCGCCTTGGTGTTAATGGCAGGAAGGTCGACGGGAGCGGTGGCGGCGGGTGCCGCCGGGACAGCCAGCGAGACGGTCATGTTAGGCTAGCTAGTATAAAATGAATCCCCTTCTCTATGTGTGTCAGAGAAGGAAGAGCTGCGAAGCGGTTGTTGGTTTGTACAGGTCCTGTGGGCCAAAACGACAGTGTGTTGTTGACCCAGAGGCGAGAACTGGGCGGCGGGCAGACAGTGAGCTACGGGCCAAAGGCGGTGACGTGATGACAGGGTCGGAGCGAGAAGGCGTCTTCACCTGCTGCAGTCAATGACAGGCGCACAGTGAATAGCCGTGGATAAATAAAGAGAGAAGGTAACGATATGCAGCAAAGGTAGGGTCCGGTTGTGACAAGAATTTGATTTGAGGAAAAGGGCAAGCAAAGCCACAGCGGTTGGGGACAAAGGATGGGACGGCCAGACGGTATTATACAATCGACATGTTTCCCCGAGGCGATCCCACCCTGGTGCGTGCTGGACCCGGAGAGGTGGAGGATGCGCAGAGACGGCGAACGAACTGTCGGTCTCTGCACACAGAGCAGCATGCCCACAGCAAGCACAAGCATTTGGATACAATCTCGGCCCAGGTGTGTACATGGAGGTACCTTGCTTTCGTCACTCGTCACTTGGAACAGGGGGGTGTTGGGTAGGGTGCAGCAGAGGGAGTGGATGGGGGGGGTGGCGGGTAGAACGAGACTGGGGGCGCGGCGAACTTGCAGTTGTACCCCAGCCTAGCGTGCGCGGAGGAGCCTTCTCACGAAGAGACGACTCAGCCAGAGCCAGCCAACCAGAGATGACGATTAAGCAGGCCTTCAGGGCCGAAAGAAGGCGGCGCGATGGCCACAAGCAGAAACATGGATTCCGATAGCCAGCCGAGGCACAGAGACAGCCAGGGCGATGAGAGGATTGGAGTAGATTGGGATACCACCAAAAGCGTTGAGGACGGTGGGCGGGGAGAGGCGGGCGCGCTCGCACCTGATGGAGCACTCGCATGCCTCTGCCCCAAGGAGGACAAGGGCAGAGATCTGTTTACTGCGACCCAGGGTCTGCTGCGACCCCTGCTGAAGGCATCACAGGGGGGGAAGACACGGAGCAGAGGAGGGGACAACGACTGGGGGCAAGGAGTGCGAACAGGGGGAGGGGCGCTTGTTGATGTCTGGTAGGGCGAGGCTAGGATGGCAAGGACTCTGACAAGGCAGCGCAAGGCGGTAGGCGACCAGGAACCTTGAGAGTGAGCACGACGAGGCAAGGGGAGGCCGCAGCCGAAGCAGGTCAGCGAGCGAGTGGGTTAGATGTGGAGGGAGGCACATGCTTTTGGGCCAGGGTGAAAGGAGGAATGTGGAGGGAAGGGGACGAGGAGGGGAGTGTGAAAGGAGCAAGACGAAGAGGACCCCGAGGAAGGGGAGCGACTAGCGAAGGCGACGGTCGAGGCCATCATGGCGGCCTCTCACCCTCGCTGACTACGTGCTGTCCATGCTTTGCGAGTGTACGTGACAAGCGACACGAAGGTCTGCATAGGGTCACGTCCCACGGCCTCTGCTCATAAAGCACTGCCTGGGAGCGGTTTGCCCCAGGACAGAAAAGGCCGTGACCGGCGCCGGCATGAAGGGTGCGGCAGCGGGAAGGCGGCACAAACAAAGGTGCTGAAGAGAGCGACACAGCGGGTGAGAGTGTGTAAATGATTGAGTGAGTGAGTGAGTGGGCACCACCGCCACCGTTGCAAAAGAGTGGGATCAGCGGGAATTGAACCGTGCTGTGGACACCCCCGAGTGGCGGCGGCGGCAGGGAGGAGGGTGAAAAGGACCACCTCGACAGTGCTCGAGCCCAGATGGAGTTCTCAGTGCCCAAGATTGAAAAGCAGGGGTGGTCAGAGATGGCGGGTGTCGGCTGTCGGGGCGTGGTGGTGGTGTGGCAGTTCGAAAAGAAAGCACCGCGCAGGCAAGTAGGCAAGCAGGCAAGCAGGCACCTCAACGGCCAGGCAGGGGCACAGGCTCTGCCATTTGACGCCACTCGTTTTCGAGCTCCCCATGCCCGAACGGTACCGTCCCCACAACCCCATCCATCCATCCCACCGCGACCCCAACCCCTGCCGTTCCAGTCGTGCTTGCCTCTGTTTTGTCCCTTCGGTTGACTTGCAGCAAGGCCACCCCGCGGGAAGGAGAGCGCGCAGCTGATTGGCGCGATGGAGCAAGCCTCTCTCCCTCTAGGCGGGGGGGTGACCTCCCCTCCCCCAGTACCAGTACAGTCGCAGTCTCCCCCCTCGGGTACGAGCCATCCAGTCGCCACGACCCCCCATGCGGCAGAGATGGAGGTGAGGGACGGACGGTTGCGCATCCCGCCGCCTCTGCCATGGCCTCCGCGGGCACAAAAAAAATACCAAGGGTTCGAGGCCCCTCAGGGTTTCATTCATTGTCTCTTGTGGTTGTGGCCGCCTGCGAGTGACTGCAGAGACGAAGCGGTTGCTTACTCTCTCGGGTTGCTTGGCTTGCTTGCGAGGCTGGTGCTGAGAATAGAAGCGGCTGAACAGCATCTAGAATGCTAGAATGCCCGGGCCAAGAAGGCAATCGGCACGGAACAACTCTATCGACGGACGCTTTCATGCGCAGCGCAAATCCCCATGGATCGGCTGCTCCCAGTGGCGGGCGGCGTGGCGGCTCAGCGATGATTCAAAAACGGTCGCCGTACGAAGCCGGGGTTCTCCTTTCGAACAGGGCTGGGCTGGTTTTCCCCCTGCTGGTTTTCCATCGCTTACCCCATCTCTGTCGCGCGTGCGCGTGCCTGAGTGAAAACGCGCCGCCCCCAGGCCTGCCTACCACGGCAAAGGCTCGGGACAGCCGCGCAGAGTCGCGACCCCTCGTTCATCTCCTCCCAATATTTGCATGTGGTCTCCCTGAGAGAACCCCTGGCGACCAGAGCATCTCAAAGCCCAGAATATTCGTGGGGCTGTGCTACCCGTCCCTTTTCCCCCAGCGCCCAGCAAAAGCAAAGGCAGAGAAAAAAAAAAAAAAAAAAAGACACAGAAGACCATCAGCCACCCCCGTCACCCGCTTGGCCTTGGACTCCCAAGTACCACTCTGTACCTGGCATGGACTGGAGGCGACAGCCGGGCCCGGGCCCGGCCAGCAAGAATAGCGCCGGCTCCCCTTGCATCCCCTCGCAAGCGAGAAACGATCTATTGCTGTATAATGCGATGTGATATTGCTGCATCGGGCATTTTCCCTACATGAGCCAGCGAACCCGGGCTTGCCATCAATCTCCCTGTCTCGAGCGACCCGGGAAGCAAAAGGGAGCCCGCGGCATACGAACTGGTCGCGCCATCGCGCGAGTCAAAAGCGAGCATCAGATGCGGTCATCGAGGGCCCTGCGTCCTTTGCCTTGGGCCGCGACGGGGCCAGGCGCCTGGCTGATCGGCCAGCTGGTTTTTCTTTCCAGGCAACAGCTCGCTACGAGGATGCAACACAATGATGCGGTGCTTGTCTCTTGACCTCGGGATGCAAAAAATACAGTACGCATTGGAAAAAAGGGTGTCGATACTGTTGGGAGAATGTGGCGTTGGACATTTCACTACGCGATTACTGTGGCCTGCGTGCTTGTTTGTCATCTCCTTTTCCAAGGTCGGATTTTTTCCAAGGCGGATTTTTTCCAAGGTCGGATTGATATTGCGGGCAGGGGAGACAGGGAAAGCAGATCGCGTGAGGTTCAAATCGAGACTGGCTCAGCTTTAGCTTTCGGTAACCAAATTTTAGAGCCCACGAGCCCACACACACACTCTCTCTCTCTCTCCCACTCACCTTCTCACAGTCGCGCACACACGCGACACAACACCAGACACACCGTCAGCAGAGCCCCATCTCGGAGCCCTATTTTGCCTATCAGTCGGACCTCCAACCCCCTTGACGGCGTCCGCATATATGGAGCACCTTCTCCATATCGGGTGGCGCCCCAGTGCCGCGCCTATCGCATACCTAACAGGACCCCCGGCCCGAGGACTGCTGTTTTTTTTTTCGCCGGGCCTTTGCGGTGGGTTGGGGCTTAGAGGAGATATCTCGGGGAGGGTCCTCGAATCCAGGCGCGCGCGAAGGCGGGCCCCTGGTTGTTCCCACAGCTAAGTAGACAAGGGGGGCTGGCGTATTTATTTTTGCTTGAATATATCATCTGTTCTTTTTTTTCTTCTTTTTTTTCTCCTTTATCCCACCTTTACCCCTGGCACTCGAAGACAATAAAAAACAAAGAAAGGAAAAAAGCACGGATGCCGGATCGCGGAATCACGGATCAATGGACAGAAATGGCGACTCTTCCGATGTGACTTGAAACAACCCCAGTCGTGCACCCCCAGCAATCACATAATCCGTCATGGCGACATCTACCCTGTCGCCGTCGCGAAGAGAGCCGCCAAGAATGTGCTGAAATCAAGCGAGAGAGAGAAAAAAAGGAGGAAACAGAAAACAAGACAGGCACCCAGGCGATGGAGCCACGCAATGCGAATCTACACCCATCTCTGCCCGCGACGAGTGTGTTGCCGTCGCTGCGGCGACCCTACTGGAAGAGAGTGGGTGGGTGGTCCAGACACGACACGGACACTACTTGAGGTGCTGCATTGAATGATCTCCCTCACATCTCTCGCTCATGCCCGCCGCAGCAGAATTCCCATGTCTATTTTTGCTTGCGCATTTCATCATCAATCTCTCCTGGCCCCCCTTCCCCACCACACCTACCAGCGAGTCGCCCGTGGCGGAAAAAAAAAAGGAGGAGCAAGACGAAAAGAAGGCATCAAAGACAGAAAGCTGCCCAAAGGCTAAGTCGAGACATTTTTTTTTCCTACAGGCGCAGGTTGGTGTCGAGGTACTCTACGCGGGGGTGGGGGTACGGAAGCAGACGCACCAAAACGGAGAGTGGGGTCTGGCCTTTTGGTCGGGCTTCACTTCGCGTCGCATCTTTCGACGACGCTAAGAGGGTCGAACAACCAAACCTCGCTTGTGCAGTTAATATCGATGGCGGCACCCTGACGAGCCTTTATGTGTGTGTGTGGCGCCGGTGTCCGCCATCAAATCTGACAGTTTGCCAGAAAGATTCCTATCTTGTCCTCATCTTGTTCTCTCATGCACTCGACGCCTGCAGATGAGCACCAAGATAAATCTCACAAACGTCACCAGAGCCTAGAGCCAGGTAGGAAGGAGGCTCTCGTCCCTCGCCTCGCCATGGAGTGAAGTTCATCTCGGCCGCCGTCATGCTGGCAGGCAAGACATGACCAGGTGCAGAAGGTCCGGCGGCGTTAAGATACAGATGACGGGAGAAGATGGAAACTGGGAGCTATGACCCCCAAATAGTGTCTTCCATGACAAACCGTATCGATATCTGATAGCCTGCGGTATCTCTCTCACTCTCTGGACACAAAAGATCATGAATGCCAGTGGCATGTCCATCCCGCATGGCCACTATATTTTTCCTTGGCGCATCTGCTCACCTGGCCACCGGTACCCAACGTTTCCCCCTCCCTACCTACCTACCCCCAAGGTCAGCCCGTGTAGGTTCCGTGTACCGTGCCGCAAAGCAGCTGGCCCCTCACCGCTCAGCCGTGGAACGAGTCTATGTACAGCTGTTACAGCTACTGCTCCATTTCTGTCTCTGTGCGGGAAAAGAATACGGGCTTCGGGGCATGCGCGGGAATCCCTGGCCGGGGCTCTTGGCGGGGTGGGATAAAGTCGCGCGGACGGGCGCGGACGCGGGGCCCTTTTTTCTCTCTTTTTCTTCTTCTCGTGGTTGCGACGGCGGCCCAGCTGATCCGCCTCGGCCGCCAGCCCGCCAGCTCGCCGCCCATTGGGCTTTGCTCACCCTCTCCTCCCATCCAGCGAGAGCCACACCACCCTCCTCCATCTGGAATGGCGTGCTGCGGTGCAGTGCAGCGCAGTGAAGTGCAGCAGCAGCTCCAAGGTGTGCAGAACCAGCCAGCCAGCCAGCACGCGCTAAGTGCTGCTGCTGCTGTGCCTGCCTGCTGCCCCACCTGTTGTCCCCAATCCCCCCCTCCTCCGTCTAATTCGTGCTTTCTGTCCCCTTCCGCCAGCGGGCTTTGCGAGCTATCCATCACATCACATCCCTCCCCTCAATCACCTTCCCCACCCCCCACCTCCGGCCGGACCTCTCACCCACGGTCGTGATCCGAACGTGGCCGCCCTTCGAGAAGGACCTTCCACGCATGGATGAGGGAAAGAGAGGGAAAAAAAGAAAATAACCATGGGAGGGGAGGGACTGCGGACAGAAAGGGCAGGTCCCCTCCTCCAAGCCTTTCACCCACGGGAGAAGCTTCCATCACATCTTCTTTTTTACCCTTCCCGTCAGGCGGCATCTGCAACCCGAGCTTGGCTTACGACTGGCCGTTGCAATATTAACGACATGCGTCTCATTTCGTGGCTGGAGCGAGACAAAGAAACCAGAGTTGCAGATACCCGGGTTGTACATGTGAGATGGCAAGGTGCGGGCGACGGCTCTCACAAGCACCTTCCCGGACGACATCCGTGATTCGCCGTAAATGCCGGCCGCTTCGCAATCATGGCGCGAGGCGGAAGCGCCCAACCCCCCTGTTACTGGTGGGCAGAACAATAGCCGTGATCCAAACGGAGGCGGTGGCGTTGTGTGGCGCCAACTGACATGTCGCCATGGCGGCACAGCCATGCCATTCGACGCCATCGACGCCGTCGGGGCACAACGGCAAGGCACTAAATAAAGAAAGGGAGGAGGCGCTGACATCACTCGGACCTTTTTCTACCGGGGCCAAGTCGTCCTAGCGCAGGCAGTAAGTTCAAGCCAGAGGTTCCAACGACAAACGATCAACGGTCGAGCACGGCCTTTGACTGGTTCATTCGCGAATAACAGGGTCGATCCCGGCCAAATGGTATGGCCGAGCGCGAGAAAAGCAACGGCTTTTTTTTTTTCTTCTTCGCTACTGCCTGACGTTAGAGTTTGATGAAACCTCCACGCCGGCACTCTGACGACCTATCCTCTTCGGAACCGGCCGGATGTTCAAAGCGGTCTGCGGAATGGGAATAATAACTGAGCGTCGATATTGATAACAAGTCATTGCACAATTGGATGCACTGCACAGACAAGCGCCTCCACACGACAATGGGGAATCCACAATTGTGTCACTAACGGGCGAGAGCTTTGTAAATAGAAAGAGAGAGAGAGAGAGAGAGAGAGAGAGAGAGAGAGAGAAACGAAACA